TTATTCTATGTAATGATAATATGAGAAAAAAAATATGCTTATGAAACGAAATTGTATAAAACTATTTTCTATAAAAGAACACACAACTATCAAGGCCGCTATGGCCATCTATTGTTAAATATTTCAAATTAACAGGAGAGTAAGCGCCCTCTATCTTTATCTGTTGTAGATGACACACATTGGTGAAGCGTGCACTGAGTTCCTATAAAAGACGTTAAATTTTAGTCACAAACAATATGTTAGAAGTTACCAAGAATATAATTTAGAAAAACGCTTTTAATCATTGAATTAATTACAGTAATTGAAAGTTTTTAAAATAATTTCTTTTTTATAATTAAGTTAGATACATAGTCGAGCAGCGCCATCTAGTTGACTAATCCAAAACTAATAAAAGGTTACCCAAATATCTACTAGATGGCGTTGCTGGGTGTAAAAAAACCTTGCAAAAGTACCGTAACAGAAGAAAAGTTTGAATTCTTAACTGACAGTAAAACAGTGAAGTATTAATTTCAACTACATAAATATTATTATCTAACTCTACGCGCAAGTTCTGTATGGTTTAGTGTGACAAAATTTTAAACTTTTAGGTAGGTCCTAGCCAACCTAGGAAAATAAAACGTGGCCGCGTGGGTACTGGTGGCTGAGGAATAGTGACGAAGAGTATTTTTCATTAAGTCCAGGTTTTAGCCTCAAGCCAGATGACGAAAGGGTCAAAGTGTACTAACGACCTGGGGAAAGTTACGCTCAGTGTAAATTTTTCGAAAGAAAACATCATAGAACAAATTGTGACGTTCCATACCTTGGAGAGAATTTTCATAAATAGGATCGGCCCTACGCTGCTAGTTACGAACAAGGAATGCCATAGTTCGTAAAAAGGATGCCAGCAGTAACCAATTTAGGACAACTGAAAAGTGCGTTGGTAGAAGAATATTTTATTTTCGATTTAGTAAAAACCGGCCAAGTGCGAGTCGGACTCGCGCACGAAAGGTTCCGTACCATTATCTATAAAAACGGCAAAAAAATCACGTTTATTGTATGGGAGCCATCTTAAATATATTTTTTTAATTTAATTATTTATTTTTAAAGTGAATTTTCGGTGAATATTTCAACTGTCTACCTATCACGGTTCATGAGACACTAGGTAAGTACTGAATGTACCTACTTGTGTTTATGTTACATTACAATACAAAAGAAATCATACATTTGATAAAGTTTTTGTATTGAACATGATAAGTTGAGAGTTTTCCGTTTCCTGACATTACGTCAATAAGAGATAACTGTTAGTACCTACCTAATTTGTTTTTTTTTTTTCAGAGAATCTTAAGTTTCTTTATTTAAAAAATTTCATTAAATTAAGTTGTGGAAGAGTAGGCCAAAACTTCCTATCTAAGGAGAGGTCTATGTTAACATAGACCTCTCCTTAGAAAGAAGAAACGGTTATGTTACCATAAAAGCTTGGTTTATTATGTTTTTATTGAAGTAGACTCAATTAAATCATCATCATTATCATCATCGACAACCTTTAATAGTCCAATGCTGGTCATAGGCCTTTCATTAGAAAGCAAGTTTTGGCCTACCACAACACGCTGGCCAAACGGGTTGGTATAGGGTTTGTGTCAACTTTTGCATTTTTTTGCAGTGCTGTTGTCCTGCATAGTTTGCTCCTTTAGTTGGCTCTTACGACACCCAAGAGATGAATAGGGGTTGTGACAATCTGTATTCCTAATCCATCACCACACGGATAATAGCTAGATGCTACAGTGATGGTTTAGTGATATGTTAACTATCAAAAAGTGTGTCATATTTTTGTGAAATAGAAATCAAAACATCGGTCCGAGTGTATTAAGACACGATCCTTGTCAAAGTGTCTTCACAACACCATGTACTGTAGAATGTATACAGGTAGGTATGTAATTCTATATACACTATAGAATTATTCTTTAAGCTATACCTATATGAGTACATTCAACACTGAATCTTCGAGTTAGGAAATTTACTTCTAATTCACAGCCAAAGAGAGGCTGGGAGCTAATACGGACTACTACTAGTAATAGCGCTTAATTATTAGATTTGGTATATTTCATAATAATTCGCATTAAAACATTTTCTCATGGATTATCAATACTACTCGTATCATCAAATCAATTACTAGATAGCCACTACATTTTCTCAACTAAAGGATCGTGTTAACGCCAATGGAAATCACATTAAATGAATATTGTATTTTTAAAATGCTTTACCATGGAATGTGTAAAATAATAACCGCTCACTGCACTAGTAAATGGTTCATGTCATAGAAAAAGAAACGACGTTTTCCTTGTAGTTGGACATATTTAGGGCAATACTGTGAATTATAAATTGAATGTTTATCAAGTGGCTTCTTGCGATGTTATCGTGACGTGGATGATTCACCCGCTCAGTCGAGCTGTGTGATCGATTGACAAACTGATAACGACAACCACTTAGCCACTGCTCTTAGACGTTTCACGAACGTTTTTTTTTTTCGAAAGACAGTTTTACAGTATTTGAAGAAGGGATTGTTCGATATCTCGAGCCTACGACTGTACGAGTACTCCTCAGATAGTTCAAGTATGATTGAAGTTGATATTTTAATACGATTTGATGTACTTTCTTTTGCGTTAATAATATAGACCCTACCTATCTTTATAAATATATTGTTGTTGTGTTTTGTGAATTTGAACACAAACACTAAAATGATCTGCACTCTATGCAATGTTTTTTTTTAAATGGAATAGTGGACAAACGAGCACAGGGGTTACCTGATGGAAAGCGACTACCACCGTCCATGAACGCTTGCAACTCAGGAGTCACAGCGTGTTGCCATCCTTTGGGGAAGGAGGGCGCTCTTTTCTTGAAGGTTTGTCCATTCCTGTCCCATCGATCCTACAAATCATAATAATAAATTCACACCTCTCACACACGGCCGTCTAGTCCCAAACTAGGCAGAGCCTCGGATACCCTCGGATACCACCTGTCGGTGGCATGTCTTACTCGAACCGACTAAAACCGTACGCCGTCTCGGGTACTAATAGCCGGGGAACCAGAAAGGAAGTCCCTGGTGCCCCGACATATTTTTACAGCTGATTTTTACAAGAAGGGCATCAATAAACTGCCAATGCGTTGGCAAAGATGCGTCGATTGCATGGGTGAATACTTCGAATAACAGAAATAAAAAAGTTTGAAAAAATCACATCATCACATCAACAGCCTATACTAGTCCACTGCTGGACATAGGCCTCTCCTTAGAAAGGAGGTTTTGGCCTACTATATCATGCTGGCCAGACGGGTTGGTATAGGGTTTGTTTCAAGTTTTCCTTCTCTTTGCAGTGCTGTTGTCCTGCTTAGTTTGCTCCCTTACTCGGCTCTTACGACACCCACGGAATGAATTGGGGTGGTGACAATTTGTATTCTTAATCCGTCACGAAAAAATAAGTTCTTTCAATTATTGCATACAAAACGGCAATTTCATAGGTAAAGACCTAATATATTTCTTGTGGCTAAAAGTCATGACAGTTAAGAACACCTACCTTACATTGAGCTGGTATATTACCTACAGTCGTTCAACCTACGGACGTTACCTACAGTTTTCCTCGTATTTCGTAGCGATGTTTATTGATATAAATCGTAAGCTGATAATATACCTAAGGCTGCAATAACACAAAAAGATAGGTGTCAAATAAAACGTACAACTTCGGCAACAAACATTTTATTTTGTCGCTAATTTGGTAATTACTTACAACATAACAGTTTAAACATTATTATCAAAATATAAATATGTAGACTTAATTTGCTGAACAAACTGCTACACACACACACAAACACACACACACACACACACACACCCATATAAAAATTCTTATATATACACGTATATATTATAGTAAATTCGTCGGATTGTTTCTCTAAGGTCAATTTACACTTTGTGACACAACATAGTGCTAACAGCACACTATCAACTGCTTCACTTACACATATAGTTTTGCCTAATTACTAGATAGTTACATGCACCTTCTGCCACGGTTCCACGAGCCCGCCAGATGCAACGTCTTTTATATTACAAAGGGAGGGAATTATTGCCTCGTTAGATGAGGAAGCTGTGATTTTAAAGATAAGAGGATCACAAACAAACCTTTCTCTATCATGATTAAGTTTTTACTTCCACGGATGTCGCCGAGAATGTCTCAGCATCCGGCCTAAGAGCCTCCTAATTTATAACTATGGTTTGAAGGTTATGAGCTAAGACCTATCAAGAAGGTTACAATGCCATCGGCTCGATCGATAGTTACCGATACATAAACATTTTTATTTAAATTTAGGTTTAAAAAGGAACTTAGAATTCAATGAAATCTAAGTTAGTTTATTCTTATACTCAGTATGGACTAAAAGGATTGCATCATGAAAGCATTGTAACAATGTGATAAACATATCAATGCATTGTTGTTGGTACACAGATATTTGTCCACGTTGTAAAAATCAACCTTATCTTACAAATGCACACCTGGTTTTCTTTTGTTTTTGAGTAAATCTCTCTCGTGAGTTTTAGGAGGGAAAATGGAAAAATACATTATTAAAGATACAAAATGCAAACATTGCGAAATAAATATTTTTTGGAACGGGTTAAAGAATTTTACTCGAGAGTAGAAGAAAAATAATTAGGTTCTGTGTTTTAGTGCATTAATAATTGAATAAAAGTAACATAGAGCGTCAACATATGTAAGTAGGACCTATATATGTGAAACTTATCAAAACATAGTAATAATAATAAAAGTATCACTCAAGGGATTGAGAGGATTAGCATCGGTATGAAAAAGCGAGCACCTACTGCAAACGGAATGATAGGTATCATTTCTTTAGCGTGTAATCGGTTGCATTATACACATAAATGACGCCACATCAGGCGGTTCTGGTGGAATGTGCCATAGTCTTATTATAACTAAGGTTTATTTACAGATAAGGAACACTTGACACGCTGGTCGTCGTTACGGCGGGCGGTAGTGCCCCGCCGCGCTCTGCAACACGCCGCCGCTGCTGCGCTCTAGCGCTGGTACCCTGTAACGTTACGTGCCATTACAATAACCGCGTGTAACAGCGCCTGCGCGTGTCTGTAAACACAGCAGTCAACAAACAGCTCGAACGTAACTCGAATGTCGCAGAGACGCATCGCGACAAACCTTGAGATAACATAAAGCTCATGCAAATATAACAGAACCTCACGACAAAAATTATACTTGGTAAATGTTAGTTTAGTGTCATTACACGTGTTTACCAGTAACCGAGCACATTGCAAAGGCACAGCCTCCGTGAGCACCTTGAAGCGATCATCCTTATAAACGTTTATCGGAAAAGGACAACAATTAGTATCCGTCTACAACAGAAAAAGAGACAGAAAGAAGAGTCGAGATTGTTACGAGTGCATACAACAGAAGTCGTGGAAATTAGTGGCAGTGCGCAATAAGCCGATATGCAGTAGGTACTGTAGAAACAGAATTAAGAAACATACGAGAGAGGCCAAACAACTGAATATTAACAAGCTAATAGCGGAACGTGCAAGATTGGCGCGACTAAATGCCCTCTATGTACCTCCCCCGGTAGGGTATCAGGCGTGAGGGTCTGAAAGGCGCAACCGTCAGTTGCGAGGTACTCACATATCGGCTTGATGCCTCGCGGGGAGCAGCAGCAGCGGGGTAGCGCCCCCCGCGCCCGCCTCTACCGCTGCGTACAGCGGAGGCAGCACCTTGTGCGAATGTGCCTCCACTGCCAACACCACACACATTACAGACTGATTCACTGCACCGGTCGAGATCACAAGTACCACAGCCGGTACGTACCTGAGAGGGGCGCGGCGCCGGGGCGCGGCACGCTGTGGCCGCCACCCATGCTCTTTGGTTTGCGCTTGCGGGTCTGGATGCCGTCCTTCTTCATGCTAAGCGGTCGGTTCACCTGCACAGACACGTACGATCAAACGGTCAGCAGATACACTCGCACGCGTGCCATGACACTGAGTGACTTCACAGACGGGGAAACTCGTCGTAATCTCCCGCCACGCGGTCCTATCATCCTTTAAACAAGCGTATCTACACGCGAGGAGATAATTGATAAAAGGTTATTTATCTCATTATGAATATTCGTGGTCGCACGATGATAATTCTCTATCAGTCGGTAGCCCCGCGTTTTATCTCACGAGATTAGATGAGACCCTGTGTTTTGATTTTTTATACAGTCCCAATATTTGCCGAGGAGTTCCCTGATAACTGTGACTGCAGCGGCGATTAGATACCTGCCGCACGTCTAATCAGCATACCTAGCGTAATCGATGCACAATCGCGCGATACCGCCTCTATCGAGGGCAGAGTAACGCGCGGTAGTTCCTGCTCCTAGTCAACGGTTAGTCGTAAGCAGCGGTGTCCGCGACAAGTGCCTGTTGTACACTCACATTGTGCAGTTTATAGTAGAGGCCGCACGCGTTACAGACAGGCTCGCCGTTGTTATTTCGTCTCCACAGCGTCGTGTTGGAAGTGCGACAGTTGGCGCAAGTCACACCTACGCGACGATTCCCGTTGGTCGGCTGTGCATAACACATACATGTTGGTCAAAATTTGGATCTACAATTAATAACTTTAAGAGAGTATAGTATTGTCAGTTTGGGTTACCAGGGCTTGTTGTGGTTTTGCTTTTTGTCCCTTTAGCGGCGGTCGGTTGACACCGTTGATACGTGTATACAGGCCGCAAGCGTTGCACAGGTAATGTCCGGTACCGTCGCGCCGCCACAGCGGTGTGGTGGCTGCCGCACAATTGACGCACTCCTTTACTTCACCCATGCCCGTCATACCTGTGCGTGCAAAAAGTAAATGTATCTCAACGAGCTCAATTTAGCAAAAATACTTTACAAAACCGAACATACATACTTGGATCAAATCCATCATCTATAGGCAATAGATTATGTGGTGGCCAAGCCTGCGCAGGCGCAGGATAGCCCTCTACAAGTAGGCCGCCTTCGTACCCTGACACTGGCACGTATTCGACACCGCCTCCTTGTCCCAGGTAGTGTTCACCCCCAACCTTGTACTGAACGGTATTGCCGTGCGTATACAGAGTTACCTACAAGTCACGAAATTCATTATTAGGTACAGGTTATTAAAGGTGCACAACTATCGATTATCATAAATTTAAGTGCGTAGACCAACCTGTTGTGAATTAGGACTCGGTGGTGCCTCGTATACAGCTTGCGACTGTGGTATGACAGAGCCGTACACTACGTGGGCGCCCCTTGTGGTCAACGACGATGAAGAGAGTGTTGGATCCGAGCGGTACAATAATTGGCTCGGGGGCGACTCGTCTCCGCGAGCTCCACCGCCTGTGTTCCCCCCGGAAGTTCCAGTCCCCGCAGCACTACCGTACAATGTCAATAACTCCTTACTACTTCCGGCGTAAGCACCGTACGTAGGTGCTCCACCATACTGAGGACTCTGCCCGGCATAGGTGTAGCCACCGTGTACAGAGGTCACGGGCTGTAGGCTTGCATACGTGCTTGGACGTGGCTCTCCCTCACCACGTGTTTCATATTTAACCTGTTGATATGCAACACCGACCGCTTGTTGGTTGTTCAGAGACGTGGTCTGGATCATCTCGAGTGCCGTAGACTGGGGAACTTGCTCGCCGAGTACGGCAGTATATTGGCGTGAATCGGTGGCACCTTCACCACCCACGTACTGCAATTGCTCTTTTTCCTTTTGCGATAAGTACGCGTCGTGTGCTGCCTCTTCGCTTTCACCCTCCTGCGCCACGATGACGTGGTGTGGTGCACCATAGCGCAGTGCTAAACTTCTTCCGTAGACAGGGCGCTGTGGGGTTCGAGTGTACTGGGGTTGCATACGTTTATCGACAGGCGCGGGCGACGCCAAAGTGCGATAGGGCTCTTGCTTGAAAGCGAGGTACCGTGCGGTCTCTGCCTCGGCGAGACGAAGGCGCTCTTCGTCATAGTGCTGCTGGGCTTCACGGTGCTCATCTTCAAGTTTGGGCGCGTACTGGTGGAGTTGCTGCGGGTCCTGCTCCAGTGGCACAGGCTCTGGGGGCTCGTCTTTCACACCTTCGTCGGCGCCAGGATCACCTTCTTCTGTAGTAATATGACCTGCGGCGGTGATAGTCCGCACGGTGCGACGTGACGTTATCACGGACTGTGAGTGTGGCGCTGGGGAGCCGTCACGGGCCATTATGGAGTTGGCCTGGTGCTGCTCACCGCCATCTGCCCCTGCGTTCCTCTCAGCTGCTTGCTCCTGCTCCAGCCTATCTTCGTGCTTGACGAGTTGCAGCGCTTCGGCGGTATTGTCAACATTGTTCTGTTCTATCTGCCCCACGTTCTCCATGCTCTGTCTTTGTTCAGAACACACTCTGTGTAAAGAGGATGCGCCTACCTAAAAGAGAGAAAGGTGTCTGAGAAATTTGTAGGTTACAAATAATGTTAGTGGGTTTTTTACGCGGACACCTAAACAAACAAAAGGCTTCGCTTTAGGAGCGGAAGAGCGCCGGCCCGGAAATGCGCGACAAATAGGGAACGAGCTCAAGCCGCGGCGCCGGCGCCCATATAGGTACAGCGTTTAGGAGTCGAGTTCGGTATACATATAGCAATAGGTTTTGATGAAAAGAGTTCATAGGTCCTATTTCTAGTTCAATTTAAATCGACGTTTATTATGTTAAGTACATTTATTAATACATATATATTTGTTTGTGAACTTCAGATTCGAAAAGTCAACATGATATAAATCGTTGTGCGTGTTATGCAAATTTATTTTAGGAAGTATCTAAGTATGTTCTACATCTAATTACTATTTTAAACGTTAAATTTCAATAACTATTTAGCAGATTTGAGCTTTTGATATTAAATGTCAATGTTAATTAATCCAATCCCGACAGAATGAATGTGTCGAATCGTAAAACGCTTATTACAGCGAGGAGTATTCTAGTTTTGTAACATTTTATAATAAGGATATTAAAATTATATGGTGACGGATGACGCGGCACAAGAACACGACACCGGGGCCCACCTTCGCGTGGTGAGCAAACATGACATGTTGTGCCAACGCCGGTGCGAGGACAGTTTGTTGATCGTCTGTCGCCTGGGCCCGACGCAGCCCACAACTCCAAACTGTACTGAGTGCGAGGGGACTAAGGTTCGTATTGAGGTGACAGGAGGAGCGGTGTTTGCTCGCGCGATCGACGTGATAACCATCGCTCAGGGTGATAAACTAGTCCAGGCTGTTAATAAAACTCTTTGTCGTAGTGGTGTAACAAGCACTGGCCTGTACTCTTCCCACAGGGGTCGAGAGGGCGGTTATATTCATTTCATACCCGGCTTCACCGTTATTATATTTTTACAAATTTATAATAAAATAAGGCTTATATTTATTTGCAATTAGAGCATGTATATAAAATGTCTGGAAAATGAAGTATTCAAAGCATCAATTCTTCCTGAGTTTTAATATTTGCATGCACGAAAGTGCATTTGCACTTTGCTAGTATGTTAATCCGTGTTTTAGATAATATAGTACAAGCAACAAGCACAGAGCTGTCTAGATCTAAAATACTAATTATAAAAGAAAGAAAAAACTTATAATTAAAATCTTGTAAGGGTTTTTAAAGAAATAAGATATCTAAACATATTTTTACTCGTACCTATTTTTTTAAACTGTGATTTTGTGACATGTAACGCCTGTTTATCAAATTTCGATTATTTTGAATGTCTAACCAGTATATATACGTTAAACTGATATTATTTCTTTTATAGCATGACTGAACAGTATACAATTTTTTTGTATTTACACAACGTTTGTCATTTATGTACATCGGTAGATTTAATGCCCAGGGCATTCTCTACCAGCCTACCTTTGAGTGCACGGGTGGGTGCAAAAATCTTGTACGTTAGGTGCACAGAGGTGCATATTCTTTTAAATCAAATAAGAAGTAAGTATGTATATTTAATTAGTAACAGTTACTAGTAGTATACGCAGTTCATTTAAAAATAAACTTATATTCGTACTTTATATTCGTACACTATGAATACCAGACCATGGGGTGGTGTGCTCTTGATTATATTATTGAGCCATGACATTCTGCCAAAATATATAGTCGACTCCTGTAGTTTTGTATACTCGTTTTTATATAATTATTATCTTTAAAGCACATATTGTTCAAAAACTCGTTTAGATATAAAACATTGAGTATTCTAAATATGTATAAAAAACTTTGTGTTAAAATATAAAGATATATCTGGATATGCGAAGATAGATAAGTTATCACGAAGTGTCTGTAATTAAAGTTCTGCACCTGCGCATGTGTCATTACAGAGTTTTATGATTTAGGTGTAAAGTCAAACTCCTGGATATACCTATGTACGTGTAGGTTATTTCAGGTACGGCAATATACCATTGTGTTACGTAATCCGACGGCAAGTTGCGCGCTTAGCGCTATGAACTAACTACATTCAAACGGGCGCTGGTGTATAGCACGTGTACCTAAGTAAATAAGGAAAGTAATAGGTATTTACGTAGTATAGATCTCCTCTTTTTTAAATTCTAACCATAATTCATTATACTATAGTTCTTTTTTTGCTTACTTTATGTGTGCAGCTTGATGCAACTATTTTGACGTGAAATATTTTGTTCAAAACTTTTAGCTTTTTATATTTTTTATTTACAAACATTTCTCTTGACATGTATCTAATAATAAATATGTGTTGTATGTATGCGTTGTTCCTCCTTTTGAATTTGTTACACTCATATACCTTGGATTAGCTTAGGCGTTTTTAAAAGACCCATACTATGGGAGCCGCTAACCACTTCCATCCTCCTGGCTCCATCATCAACTCAGTTGTAACACACATAGGTACAAGGTTTCAATTTTCACTAATTAAAAATATTTTAAATTTGATCCTCAAGACATATGTAGGTACCTATGTAGGTACCTAATTAGTTAGTAAGAGAAGTGAAGAAATACGCCTCAAACTTCTACATTGTCAACATTTGTGATATTTCTAGGAATTCATAGACAAAAATTGAGATTTTTCTCCTTTTTTATAACAAACAAACACTTCTTTAGTGAAACAGTTTAGCATAAATGAATTTGCCTATCAGTGTAATCTGTTATTAACAGACGATTCTATCTCTAGATATTATATTGATAAGGTAGGTTTTACATCAGACAGCAACGTGATTTACCGCCGGCGATTGGACGGCTTGCACTTCAGGCATCATAAATATATGTGTTCTCCATTATTCAATTCCATTTCTTAGAATAATGTACCTACATTGTCAAACAAGAATATGACTTATGCGATTCTACCCCACTTAAAACCCCACTCAAAATTTGACATGTGCCGGAGACCTGTCGTATGTGTCGCGGAACGTGACGTACAACAACGGTGGAGGGACAAGTATGACGCTTGTATTACGCTCGAAGAAGATCCACTTTTGACGTGCGACTCTCAGATGTTTCAGGCAGCGGCGGCGGCGGCGTTTAATATAGTATTAATATAATCTAGTGAAAACTGCCTATTCGAGTCGCCATAATTACCCTTTTTATTTATTTTTCCCTGCGGAAAACCCCTCGGATACCACCTATCGATGGCATGTCGGAATCGAACCGACTAAAACCGCACGCCGTCTCGGGTACTAATAGCCGGGGAACCAGGTATACCCTAGAAAGGAAGTCCCTGGAGCCCCGACATACCTCGGGCCATCTACAGACGAGTAGACGAGCCCCCCCCCCCCCCCCGTACCATAATTACCCTACGTTTGTGCTTATCGCTTCGATTATCCATGATGATGATGAGGATCACTATGAAAAGGTAAGTTAGTACCATGAATCGATAGCCTTACAATTAACAATATTTATTTTCGAAAGACTTCGAAAGACCAAATAATTACACCATCTTATTGTTATTGTAACAAGCGCTCCTGTCTCTTAGAGCAATCAAAGTCAAACTAAATATGGAAAAAATATTGTTCATCTTTTGGAGTTTTTAGACTGAGTATTCTATTCCCGCAATCCTTCTGCGAAACCCATAAAGCGCTAAATGAAAATATATCTTCTAAGTCTTCTTAGTAAGAAATTTTTTCACGGGTTCATTATGCCAATCGAGTTCCGAATCGGTAAAGGGTTAAAGTTCGAACGAAATGACGTAGCACGGTGGCTACAAGCCGTAGCGTTCGGTAGCAACTGTAGCTCGTAGCCATTAGGATAGGCAGGATATTCTCAATATTCACAGTATAAAATAATAATGCGGTGAGGTGACCGCTAAGTACTTTATTCCGCGTACTCTACTAAAGTACCTAAGGCCACCTTTTGTACAAAGCTTTACGAAAACCAATATCAAACATACGTTAAAACGTTTTTTGAACAACCTGTAGACTCCTCACACAAACTGCCTTATTATCCTTATCTATCTATCTCTCTATCTATTACAGAGTTTCAAATTAATAAAAAAACACTATTTTTTTAAAAGATAGTTATCGACTATTGAAGTCGATTATTAGTTAAATGATGTATCTAGCTTCTAACCGATGCCTTTTAAATTAAAGTTTTTCCAACCATTGCTCTTTAATTGTTACGTGATCCTTCTAGATAAAACATTTATAAGTATGAATTTTAATTGTATTTTTTTTCTCTGATTATAAAACGTGATTTTAGAAGTCAGTTTTAAGTACAATTAATTGTGTGGGCTACAATTAAGAATAAAATATAAAAAATTCCGCAACACTCATGAATTGTCTTGTGCTTAGCACTTAATTCTCTATTTTACTATCAATATAAATATTTATTTTATTTATTTATTTAATTATTCTTAGAATTCTTAAAATTCTTAAAAATAATACAAATAATATATTTTTTACAATATCAAGTGTCACTTTAAATTATGTCAACAATAAAAAATAAAGTGTTAGTCACCTCAACACATTTGAGACACTGCTTATGCCGAGGCATACACAGATTGCAAGTTATTTTTAGATGATGGAGGATGCGACATTCTCACCTACCTCACACATGTATCAAGTATGTAACTATCAACAATTTATATAACACAAATATCTTTATTATTGATAAATAAATACATTCCCTTCCAATTCTAGTAATTGTATACTCTTTAAAAACTCGATAAGATCTGCTCCCATTGAGCTCACATTTTGACACCATACACAATACGCTTCAAAGATCTTTTTTATCTATTTTTGCGTCAATTTTGTTCCTCATTTCTTCAATGCAACCACAATAGGTATACCACAACGAAGCGTGACAGGTACAGCTAGTACTTTATAATTATATAGTACAATAATAATTTCATGCATTAATTAATCTATATTATAATAACGATTCTAATCTAGGTCATCGGTAACATTACTAAAAGTTTGCCCTATGGCATAAGCCTCTCCTAAGTTTTTCCATATTTCCCTGTTTGTGGCTTTTCTTTGCAAACAATGTCCTTCCATTTTATTATTGAAGTCCTTTCTTTCTTACAGTAACTTCTCTTGTTAATTTTTCCTTCTTGTTTCTCATCACATGGCCAAACCAGTTCTATTTAAGTTTTTTCCCTGTGTACATGACATCTTTCACTTAGTTGTCTTTGTATTTATAAATGTAAGTTTGTTTTTGTGATGCTTTTCTCAATATTATTTTGACACACTTTGAGTGCTCCACTCTGTTTATTCGTAAGCGTCCAGGTTTGTGTTCCACAGGTTAAACATGGTAATATACACAAGTTGAATACTTTACTACTACTATAATTGTCGGTCACAAGTCGGTGCGGATCCTTCATTCCTTCTCTTAGGGACCAGAATTATATCCAAGCGAGAAAGGTGTTTTTGTATAATTTGTCATTACTTTTGTTTTGTCTAAATTCATAGTAAAGCCACCCTTTTGCTTTTCTCTATCTAATAGCGTTAGCATTATTTTTAATCCTTCTTAGTTCTCGTTAAGCAAAATCAGGTCGTCTGTGAATCGTAGGTTATTAAGTTTATCGCCGTTTACAATTTATATACCTAGCAATTAATGTAGCAAAATTTCTTAATGAGATCAAAATAAACTAAAATTGATTATAGTATTTAAACTAACCTAACATTAAAAGTACCGCAAATATTTTGTAGAGACGGGACTCGCACAACTTAATCAAAAGATGTTGCTTGGACTAAGATACCTTTATAAATGAATCCATTACAACATTATGAATATCTTAAATACTTAATCAGATTACTACGTTACATTTTTTACTACTACTATATAAACAGTAAAGAAACAAACCAAAATTCTAAAAAAATTGGTTGTCGGTAATGTTTAAAACGTTAAGCAAATGAAACAATAAGAAATCATTGAGTGAGACGGTGGTAGTCGTTACCGACGGCTTGGTAAGCTCCTTTAAATAAATGGTTTAAAAAATTACAACCTACTTAAAATATTCATAAACGTGACGTTTGAAGAATAAATTAGCTATTTCCGATTTTCCTATTTTTGTTCATTTGTATTAAAATCTATAAAAAGTTGTGTAGACGTTGGATAATACCTATACATACAAAAATATGATAGAGCTTATTGTTTTCCAGGCCGACCAAATACTTATAAATTACTTTTTTATTTTAATAGGACCTGTTAATATAAGTTTTTCTATAAAAAATATGTTCTATATTATTTTGTTTCTATATTACGTTTAAGTGAATATTTAAAATTATACTATGTATATTATATACAGAAAGAAAATACAAAACAGAAAAAAAAAATAAACATTAATAATTATGAATGAGGGAAAACCCCGGAGGCCTGAATTTGTTTTAATCATTTTGACTTTTTGTAACGAATTTTGTTTCTTACATGAATTCATGGTACTGTATGAATGTGTGTGACACTCTCTTCGCTGGGGCTCACTTCATTTTTAATTGCTTACAATGAGTTTTGTTAGTTTTGCCGCTAACTGTATTTATTTTATTTATCCGCCTTTGTTTATATAAGTACAGGTAACTTACTGTATAGTGGCTCTAAGTTTCAAAGTAAACTATGGCATACAAGTAATCTATTAAGGAGTATAACAAATTTTTTTACAGCTAGGTTGGCATTGAAAAGAACACACAGACCTTGTGCCTAAACCTTTATACAAGCAGAAATAAACGGTAGTAGAACTATCAAACCGTAGTCTTCTGCAGTCCGGCGATTCAAAATCTAATAAAAGTTTATTCATTCCTGCATACTTAACCAATAGTAACTTGGTACAATATTTAACTATTTTTTTATATCTAGAGCGCATCAGCGGTCTATCATTAAATAAGATGAAATCCCTTATCTACTGCCTTGATTCTCCTCAGCTACTTAACTACGCACAACAACGACAAAAAACTTTGAAATTAATTATTTATCAATTGCTTAAACAGAAAAGGAAAGCATTGAAAGTTTGACATCTGAGAGATCCATAATTCTAACATTCACACAGTCCATTAGTGAAATCTTTTTACAAGACAGGGAGGCCCTTACCGACTTTGCTATAGTTGCTACGGTTGGATGGTACGTATTAGTTAACCTTATTTTTAAATCATGCCAATAAGAGTGTTTTGCCCACCTACCTCAGAGCTACTTCAGAAGGCCTTTCGCAGATTGGTCAATGCCACCACTGTTGCCGTGTTCCGTGCCATGTCCACAGTGTGATAGCATTTAATATTACTATTTAACTTTCAAAATATTTTTTATTCAATATGATGACGCTTAGTAGATTTTAAGTTTATTTTGGTCTGTCACTGCTATCAGATACAGATTAGATATTAGCTTGCTTATTTGCACGGGAATCCCGCATATCATCACCAAAAGCATATATAATACTGCATGATATAACTCCGACACCAAACAGTCTTTTTTAACAGTTGTCGTTGTATTCAGATACAAGAGATGCACTTACCGCTGAAGTGTCCTGTAGTAAGAGATGAGCGGCAACTCCTAGCGTATACAATGCGGGTCGTTAGAGGGGCTTTTCCAACATCACAGTATGTCACAGGTATTGTTCAGTCTCGTAGACACACACTACACTAGTTCGCGGCGTGTCTGGTCGGCGACGCGCGGCACATGCCCGAGGAGCTCTGTCGCGGCCCAGGTGAGTCGAGCTTTCAGTGGGCGCGGACAGGCACACGCCCGTGTGTGTGCGTGTGCGCAAGTGTGCGTGACCGACACCGCTTGTGATTGGCCGCGCGCCGAGCGTCGACACCGCGACGAGGCGCGGGGAAATTTTCATGTTTCAGCACACCTCTCGCACTCGTACTGAGCTCGCGCGCACCCTCGTACCTACATACTTGCGTGGACATGGCCGCCGCTGAACTGTAGATACAGCGGCCGCTGATGAGGAGCTGGTTCGTACATCTCAACTATCGCCACAATCACTACGATAATGAACGATAAACGGATAACTAACCACTAACTCATTCATATTTCATGCATTCTCTGTTTGTATAAGGCACGATTGTGTTGTTTAGAAATGGATCCTAAAGAAGAATCAGATAGGTGATAATTGTACGTAGGTATTGGTTTAAGGTACACGGTTTAAGGTATGGCCCACCTTTATCTGCTTCTCTTTCGGAAAGATAATTTAGGTCAAGTATAGTATCAAGCACTGCGTTACGTTAAGCGATCTCTAAGGATGCTTTTATTCTTTATATATTTACTTCACACTCGCCGCCATGCAGCTACAGGCGATGAGTTTTAAATAAAAAAAGAAACTTTGCCTGTGATATGTTTGTGCACGGACATACCTAGTAAGTTCAACGTCAACGTATCGATGTCCGGAGTGCCCTTGTGTTAAATTCTCAAATACATCATCATTTAGGTATATAATCCTCACTTATCCCCCAATTTATATCACAATAAAATGTAGGTACACCACGGAGGTGCGCTTTAAACAATCATTATTATTTTTACGATAGTATCTTAACAATAAAAAAATCGATAAAGGTAATGCGCGGCCCGTTATCTTATCTCGGGGCTTACTCGAGACATCGATCATCGCTCTAATTACTGACGACACCGTGCCTTCGCACTGCAAGACCTTCGCGCCCTTTCCACCTGCACCAGTCACTCCTACTTATCACGTTACTCAATCTTCTTTCAAAGCATTCGCCTTATTTATATTAGACACAAGTTAATTCAAATCTTTTCTTACTCAAGAGTAGCAAAGTAGGCATATCACTTTAACCTAACAATTATTGACAAGTTATTTGAAATAAAATAATAATAAAAATAATATTTTGGACATCTGACACACAAAGCCATCTAGTTTCAAATTAAGCAGAGCTTATACTATGAAAACTAGATTGACTGATAGAATACTAACATACTTATTTGGCTAGAAATAGATAATACTTATTGCACTACTTATAATTAAAGTAAATTTGAACGAAGTTTTAACCCTTTTTGATCTGAAGGTTACAAAATTACAGCTAGCCTACAAAAATCAAAGTTGTGAAAGAAAACAACCACAATGCTTGTAACGCTACCACATTGTTGTTAAATTAAGATAGGTAGTAAATAAAGTCTATCATTTGCCTAAGCTATGACGGTCAACTCCGATGTAACGGATAATTCCTGCATCTTTTTTGCCGCCATTCGCTCTTACTACAATGCGAGCAGATGCCTGGAACAGTCGGCGATATTTGGACGGGCACTTACAGTGCGCGCGTCAAGCAATGATTTTTTATTATTCCATCAAAACATTTTCCTATGATACCACCCATGTGGTAGGTATGTCGGACCCGGGTGGTTATGTCGGACTCGAACCGAACACAAACCGCACGCCGTCTTCAGTAGCCGGGGAACCAGGTATACCCTAGAAAGGAAAGGACTGGTACACAAACTCCTCACCTTAGTTAAAAAATGTGGTTCGGGGTGTATCGTTTCTACAAGAACTATTGTATTACAGAAAAGTAGTGAACAGTAAATGTATTTTATAGTCAACCGAGTCCGACATAAACACCGGTGGGTGGTATCCGAGGGGATTTTCGCACAGATAAAAAAAGGCCCGTAAGACGGTAAAACTGTTGATGCAGACCACCAACGGCCACTTAAGCTACTCCATAATAATTGGTTATTTACGGATTGTGATTCCATTATTTTATAATAGCTGTTCAGAATTTACGTATGGATAGTGATTGGCAGTACCTAACTCGCAGGAGAACTTCTTCAAGCTGGTATCACGAGTCGGGAAAAACAAATTTATGTTTTATATTTAAGAGTGATGAGCAGTTAACATTCTGACATTTCTAGGGTTGTTAAATTCCACCTCTAAGGATGAACATGAGAGATAAGGAACACAGCGCATTACATATTGAAGTCGCATTGAAGTCGGGTAAACTTATAAAGCTGATACATATTTTATTCACGTTTAATAAGTGCTCGCATATTTAACCGCGTACCTAATCTCATCTCTTAGAGTACCCGTATTCGGTTCAGAGCGTTAAAAGAACTTGTAATAATTTGCAATACTAGTCAAATGTGATATTTCTAGCTGGAAGTTTTCCATGTAGAAATAAATAAATTTATTGATGCCTAGGATATACTGCTGATTCTTTAGTTTATTAGTGCATTAACAATATACATGTGTCGTAATAAATGTATTGTATAGCGAACTGATAATATATCCAGGGCTTAATCTTCCTAAACAAAGGTATTTAAAATAGCCAGCTTATCACAATAAAGTTAACCTAAACGGAGACTAATAATAACCAATAAGAGACCCTCATTTAAGTTACGATAATATCAATAATCATAATTTTACAATACGTTATTTCCACAAAATATCTTATACTTAAAATTAGGTATATAAATGTATACATAAGCAAAAATAGTCTTAACTTATGGAATGGTGTTTTGTTACCAAAATTTTATTATAATGAAAGATAATCGTGCTGAGTTGTCGAAATCAAGACTTTTTGTGTAGTACGAGTAGATACATGTTTTGTGACAAACGCAAGACGACAACAAGTGACATGCGGGATTGGTTATTAAGTTCGTTTGGATTTATCAGTTCAATAATGTTGAGAACTGATAAAGGAAATAAAATTTAAGCATTCCTGGCTATTTTTACGTAATTTCAGGCGACAAATCAATAACTCTGGTGGGCACTGAAAATCAGTACTGGGACGGACCATGTCCATCACAGTAAATGCTGAGGGTCCACCTATACTGTGGGACACAGCGTACAACTCTCATCCGCAATCTATGCGGTTAAGATTGAGAGGCCTGCTTGGATACATGCAAAACATAGTTTCTCTCTGGTACCTAACCTAAAATAATAGTGATCACCACGTCAGCGCCACGTCATATATGATCACAGTCTCACAGACAACTCATGACCACAGATAGACGGGTTTGACGGGCCTGTTGGTCTAGTGGTTAGTGACCCTGACTGCTAAACCGGAGGTCGTGGGTTCGATTCCTACCCAGGACAAATATTTGTGTGATGAGCACGGTCATTTGTTCTGTGTCTGGGTGTAATTTATCTATAATATGTATGTATTTAGAAATATATAAGTATGTTTATCAGCGGTCTGGTTACCATAGTACAGGCTCTGCCTAGTTTGGGATCAGACGGCCGTGTGTGAGTGTGTGAGATATATGATATATTATAGCGTAGTATAGGGTTGCACGTACGTCAATAGTTATAAACTTTTAAAAAAATGTAATATTATTGTAAGTTGTGTTAAGTTAGTAATTTATATTAAGTTGTATGCTATATTGCTGTGTTTTCTTACAGAATAAAGTTTATTTTATTATTTTTATTATTATTATTTATTATTAATTGAAGTAAAACTAGGTGACTCACAGAACTTTCGTTTGGGACAGTGAATTAAATTTACGTTTTCATAAATTCCATATGGCATATTTCGTGAATTTCGTTTCCCCATAATATTGTATGTGTAGTGACGGATTAAGAATTCGGAATGTCACTACCCCAATTCATCCCATGGGTGTCGTAAGAGCCGACTAAGGGCGCAAAACAACGCAGGACACCAGCACTGCAAAGAGAAGGAAAACTTGACACAAATCCTATACCAACCCGTCTGGCCAGCGTGGTATAGCAGGCCAAAACCTCCTTTGTAAGGATAGGCAGTGTCCAGCAGTGGACTATTAAAAACTGTTGATGATGATGATGTACGTAATTGTACGAGTAGTGTGTATGTAGTTATTGTAAAGACTTAGTTTGCTCAAAAATATTTATAAGAGAATTTATGTTCACTACTCTCCAAGGGACCAAAGATATTATAGCCCGTACTAATTTAACAAATGTCAAGTTTGATTATTTATTACGCTTACACGCCTTAACTCCGCAACCAATCAATGTGAATTTTTTAATACATGTTGTCAGAGATACAGAGAAGGACATAAAGCACCTTTCACCTAGAAAAAATGGCTGATAAAAAAAACATAACAAACACATTTCACACAAGATCTGATCTGATCCTAATTTAAGCAGAGCTTGGGGTTAGGAACTCAGACTGCTGATACATTTCTACATGCATATCAAAACATATTATACTATAGATGAAAAAAATAATTACACCCAAATCATCATCATCATCATCAACAGCCTTTAATAGTTCACTGCTGGACATAGCCCTCTCCTTGGTAAGTAGGTTTTGGCCTACTATACACCCAAATAGAACAGATTAAATGAAGATAAATTGCAATAAATATATAGGTGTAGGTAAAAATTGAACCGATTAGGGCCCTAATAGTTGTATTCTATTACATATATAGTTCTAGTCTATTATATACTTGTTTCTATGCTATCTGTCAAGTGATGCAGTTGCTCCGTATACGCCTTTACCATTTCACTATTTCCATACACGTAATCTTATTTAACATTGCAAGAACTGAAGTTCATAATTTTATATGCATATTTGAATATTGCTTAGTTGATAATATATTCAAATTCAAATTCAAATTCAAATCGTTTAATTCAGACATAGTCCATAGGGTTAGTACAAACAAAGAAACTTACGAACTAAAGTTAGTAAACACAATAATTATTTTGGTGACCGGTGTGGATCTTTGCCCAGTGGCGCAACAGAGGGGAGTCCCACCGATCCGTAAACACCTTCAGGACACTGTTAGTAGCGGTGCGCAACCGGCCGGCCATGGATGCGGTCCTCTTTCTTAAGATTGCGTAAAAGTCGTCTGTGTGCGCCTCCGCAAACATACCGGACGCACTATAACGCCACGACAGCCCCAACAGCATCCTGAACGCGTTATTATATTGGACGCGCAGGTCGCTGTATGTCCTCTGCGTAAAACTGGTCCAAAGTATTTGTACCTATTAAATACCTGTTAAATGTGTAAGATAAAAAAAATAAGATACATATTTAAATATAAAATAAAGGTCATCAAACAATTAGATAAATACAATTGAGATAAAGTTAGAACAAATGTAAATTTGTTTGTTACACTTGAACTGATCAACCGATAGTCATTACATTTTTACACACGTATACAGTTGTACAGAAAAATTATTTAGTTTTCAGGTATTATGAAATATACTATAACACGAGTAAACTGGACAATCGAAATGAAAAGGTTGCCTGGATACACAGAGGACGTTAGAAGATAAATCGATGATATGAACTGCGATAACCATAATTATAAACCTATTAAAACATACTTATCTGAATATATATCTCATATTATTATAATGGACAGATACTGAGTTCAACATGTACATCTAAAAATAGATAGCTATAGATATATGTAGTGAGATTACAAAATACTCTCCTAATGGAAGTCCATGACATCCTGGTAATGAGAGTAAACAGTGTGTGCCGGTGGGTAGGTACACCGCTGACGTCACAGATGACACACGCGCCCAATATAGGCTTCAGTGTAAATAGTGATTCATTACCGCATGTGTCGATACAACGGTCCTTAATTACGAATATCGTGTAAAGTTTATCTAGCTTACTTGCTACAAGCAAACCTCTCCTACAAAAAGTGATTTGTCAAATCCTCAAACAATGACATGCGCATATCATAGACATAACTTAGATCAAGAAAATATTATTTATTCTAGAAGTAATATTTTAGTCACTAGTGGCAATTTTAGTCCCTCCGTGGCAAGCAGTGGCAGTGATAAAATTACTAGGTAGTAATATTAGCAATACATTACTGTAATAACGCTGACCATCGTTAGTATACCTAATAATCTCACAACTGTGTATATCAGGTGGTTGATAAATCCGGTAAGCTTTGGTTTCGACCCCAGTATATGAACATCGTAACAATTCTTCTTATTTTAATTTAGCTCATCAGCATAACTTCAAGCCGCCTGGTGGTAAACTAGATTAAAGTCGCAAGGTTGAAGAATTAGCATAGCCATTGTAGATACTAACACTTCTAAAATGGTGTTCTTCAGGGTTGATCGCCTTTGGAGACACCTACTCACGTGGCACTTTGAAGCGGGTTAAAGGTTCGCAGGTCAAAAGGAATACATGAGTTGGTAAAGTATTCAAAAGTCAAAGTCAAGTTAAGGACTCTTACACGTTTCTTTCGAAGGAAGTTTACAACGCAGTTGAGAAGATAGACTGGTTACCGGCAACTTTAAAGATTTTTTAGATTCTATCAAAAATTTTGACGGTAACGGTCAGACTTACTTTTCCGTCATTTCAGAGGTGATGTATGTTAGAAAAACAGTCGATGAAGTCCGAAACAGACTGATGATGATGTAAAAATGTAAATTGTTTATTTATGATGTACTTCAAAATCTCACGGACAACCGAGCTGATGACTAGGACACCAAAACTGCGGCACTGAAACGGCAGGTGATACAGTCGTGACAGTGTTGAAGTCAACTCTGCTGCGCTTCTCTGTAGATGCCGATGCCGCGATATGGAATATATTTAGGACCACTTACTTTTTATTTGTCGGAGAGAGAGACACGTAGACAAATTCTGAATTTAACAAATATTTTTGTACAAAATGTATAGCAATATTCCTGTACGTTCATTTATTTCGTTTATTTCTATCCAATGGAAGGGTAATACTATAGGCATAGCTCTGTCAGGATGTCTAAGAGGTGTATATTTCACAGTGACAGTCTCTATCTCTGTGAATCAGTAAAATAACCAGTAAATTGGTGGCAATGCGATGACCTATTTTTATTGAATGTGTGTACATGTGAGCATTTCTTAGTTCTGCGCTATACTTCAGACGTATTTTGTTAGGATTTGGGTCAAAAACGTAGTGAATCTTCTCGCTGAGAGCTGTCGCACTTCGCTCGCACATACACCACGCTTGTCTTATCTACAGCGCACTTGACGGCACCTAGATAACGAACAACTACGTGCGTAAACTGTGCATATGTGTGTGTTTGCTGATTCGGCCGCTACACACTCAACGGTGTTGCCTTAGCTTGGCATTATTTAACATCAATCCTTGACAAATGTTCAGAAGTACCTGTCAGAGTATATATACTATACCTACCTTATAAACCGACTTCAAATGCTTGTTTGCAATGTTCGTGGTATATAAATGTAGCTATATCTCTATTTTGTGCCTCATATTCTCGTAACTTAAATAAATACTAAGTATATTGATTCACTAGGCGCACTCGAAACTAGTCGGCCTGTGACAGTCATCCACTTGCGTTGGCGAAGCCCAGCTTTTAATATAACGTAGGTCACAATTTGAAAATTGAATGTTCAAAATGTGCTGCGTCCTTTTTATATTACCTACAATACAATTTCTTCACGCCATTGAAGGCAGATTTTCTTTATGAATAATATGACATTCTACTATTTTTGTAGTACACGCCATATCCAATAATCTCGACAGACACTTTATCTTGTCAATCTGTTTATGTACGTGTGACATGCGAGCAATAGGCGCATCAACCTGTCACTCCAAAGAGGATCTTTGTGAAATGCTGCTCTTGGAGACGGTTCCCCTCACACAATAAGCATGTCAGAATGAGAAGGTTATACGTCATATCCACATATTATATAGTATCATCATCATCAATCATCATCAACAGCCTTTAACAGTCCACTGCTGGACATAGGCCTCTCCTTAGAAAGGAGGTTTTGGCCTACTACTACCTACTTATATAGTATATATTTACATAACCTCATCAAAAAGGTATTTTCAAGTAAACAACTTGATTTACTGTACCACAATATTTACATACGTAGTGTAAGTGACGAAAGTAGAAGAGAATAGTTCAAGTTAATTACAATCTGGAATTTTATTATTATGTTTACGGTGACAGGCTGACTCTCAAGTGACCATGGCCAGTGCAAGCTAGTAGTCAGGCATTCAGGTCGAAACTTGAGGCTTTTTATTTAATTTAAAACGAGGTCGAAAATCTTTTTGAATAACTTCGAACAAAGGATGGTACCACTGTGTGCTTGATCTTTTGGCCTTTTGTAAATTTTTTATTATTTACATATCATCATCATCTCAGCTGAAAGACGTCCACTGCTGGACATAGGCTTCACACAAGGTTCGCCACAACAACCGGTCCTGTGCTGCCCGCATCCAACAATTGCATAAAACATATATTCGAGGAACTATTATCAAATACACTCTTTATATTAGTGTCAGACAAAAAAGGGCCAATTCATTTACATCTCTAGATACTCATTATTGAGACTGTCAGAAGCGGCAGTGTGCGCTTGTTGATAACGAGATGTTCGGCTGATACTCACGACATACCTACATGTACTGACAGGACGTCAACTCCACTGTCATTCTTCACATTGTACTCGTATACTGTACCGATATTCTTAACAATTTGATAGGCATAAACACTTTCGTGTGTAATACTATTTGTGCTAACTAATATTACAAATGCGAATTTAGGTATTCATTGACTTCCAGAAAGAATGGTTGACAAACCTTCAGGTCAATCGGTTCGTAGAAGACAGCACTTGTTGGCAATTTTCTAGTGATAACACGTCCCTGTGGAATGTATGTTATGTACCTATTTATATGTTACAAAACAGATATCTAACGAGTGCGACACCGAAATGGAGCAACGTGGCGGTGTATCGCGGAGTGAGGAGGGGCAAGCGGATTACTTTATGTTGCACAATCGTCGATGTATGTGGAACAGCGAGTGTTACACCACCGCGCCCTTAACTACGGCAATAAATATGTTCAATCTATGTACAGAGCCTAAAGGTTGGTCCGGCCCTCTCCACACCCGGACGATTATAACTCATTTCCCATGTCGCTAATCCTTTATAAAGAGTCCATGTTAGTAGGGTTACAAGGAGCGCCAGTATGTGTGTGCGTGAGTGCATCGACCCCGTAGATACAACACTCAGTATCGCGGGTTTCTTCAGATATGCAAATTGTTATCTTGTTTATCTTAACTAGGCGTTAATGTGAGACCGGTTATCTGGGGGTTTTGATAATCGTATCTAACGTAGATACAGTATCTAGTAGAACAGCTGATGTTGTGGCACACTACACATCACACGGGTGCATGTAGAGACGTACGCGCCCTCCTGTGCTGCCAGAACAGCCAGCTGCGAATGAAATAACACCAGAGTCCCTTTCATCTCTAGTTTTTGAATAGATTTCTTGAGACACGATGCATCATAGACGAATATTCATCGCAGTGATGCAATCCAAGTAGTGTGTCGCGAGGGGAACACGCCGATGAGCGTTGGGTGTGTTCGCGAGTGACGTGATAACGTGAGCAAACAACACCATAGAGCGTAAGCAAATATTTGTAGGGAACGTTGCCGCCACAGTCCCGGCCCTGGCCGCGCTCCCCGCGCCCTGGAGCAGCGGGGGAGGGCGCAGCCGGCTATCTGCAGTGGCTGAGATACCGCGATACCATCCCCGATACCGGCTAATTATCAGATACAAGGCCTACAGATTTGATTACGAGAGCGCGTATCTGCTCGACGACTCATTACAGTCTACACAGCGCTGGCGCAACACCGCGCACACGCGCCCCTCAGGACCGCTAAGCCACCCTCGGGTTAGATGCACCATGCGGAGCGGAGGGTGAACGATGCGGTGTACATATGTCGGTGGAGAGTGCAAAGTGGGACGTGTCGCCAGTGAGTGCTAGTGTGATAGTGTGGCATTGTGTGCGGCGCAGTAGGTAGGTATGCGTCGCGTAATCCCTGCTCCGGATCTGATAGCCGCTCGATACATCGACGGATTATTGATGGGCGCCGGTCGACCTCATCGCGATCTTATCAGTTGTTTTTTCGTCGAATATTTTCCGTGAAAAGCTAATAAAGCGGTGATGTGAGGGGCGAGGCGCGGTGAGCGAGGAGGGCTAGGCACGTGACGCGCGATGGCGTCTGATAAGCCGCCATATTGTTTCAGCGGGCCCCCTCCCACTCCTCTCCTCGGCCGAGGTACTCATCGCCAACAGCCGCGGCTGTCTAAGAGCTAAACAGTGAACATGTAGCTAAACGAAAGTAATGGGTAGATGTTTGCGTTTGATATCGTCACGTACTGCACTGGTTACGTGTAAATATGATTCTAAACAAACGCTCTAGAATGTATAGCGTACGCTGATTCATGGCAAATAGCAAACTACTTCACTTTTTACAAAACAAATAAATGCCTACAGGCCTATCTAGCAGTAACTCAATGCATCTGCTCAAGAAAACTTACCTTACAGAACTATTTTTTCTATAAGACAAGCTCTAATATAAAGTAATCTCTACAACATGTATTTAAATACAGAGAAATACGGATGTCTGTGTGTCTTCTTCGTGTCTCCCATAGACACGAAGAAGACACACAGTTTCGCTATGTACTAAAGAACTGGATTTTAATTTCTACCGCGGCAGGACAAGCGCCGCGTTTATTCTGGTCGTCATACCTACCGTCGGCTTTTCTTTTCTTCTGTCCGTTTCCAGCATAGTTCTCCTACTAATAGCTACTTCTAACACGTTGGATACTTTAGGCGTTATTTTAGGACGACTTAATTTGTGACGCGTCACATAGGTTAAATGGTGCTATTATTACCTATATCACGTTTAATTCGTTGAATAGTGTACTGCTGGACATTGGCCTCTCCTTAGAAAGGAGGTTTTGGCCTACTATACTCTTTCTCTTACGAGACGGGTTGGTATAGGGTTTGTGTCAATGTTTAAATACATAGATTAACATAATGAGCCGTTTGCGGCCTTCTTTCGGGATCCTTTGCGGAAATCCCCTCGAATACCATCGGACCCTGCTCCAACACACTGCACCATCACTGGTGAGTTCATTGCAACCTATCTGTGTTGTAATATAACCCGGAGTACACGCAAATACTAGTACTCGTAGGCATACTGATTAGTGCCTTTACGTACGTAGTGTCTAGCTGTAAGTGGACTAAGCGAGTTGATTAGTCCACAGATCTGTTACAAAATATTTACATTGTAATAGTAAACTCGTCGTAGGTGACTTGAGTAAATAAATCCTTTAAAAGAAAGTTGAACCGACTTCAAAAAATATAAACAAAGAGCACATAAAATAAAATAAAATACAAATCTTATTGATAAACCAATAATAAGTGCGACCCTCAATATAACCTTAATAATGTTACCTACATTATAATAGTAATAGACACCTTCCAGTCTGTTTGAAGTCGGTGCCAAGCCAAATAAGTACTAAGTGGCGGCGCGTCTGCTTACACTAAACGAGCCATAGTGGGTTACGTACATCTCCAATGATATTATTATTTTGAATGCAATTAAGTAGTTGATAAGTTTGCGCACGTTTTTGATCTGGTTGGTCTTTATTAATTAACAAAATCTGCGATGTTTCATTAAAATTATATTGAATTCTTAATTCTTTATTAAGCTGATATAAATGTTATAAGTAATGAGTAATAATGAGTGCATCTGTATGTGGATTTAAGAAACTGCTTACAATTTCTGAAGCCTACACCAAGCATCATGGATTAAAATATATTCCAATAAAAAGTGAAGTCACGGTCTTTAAGGCCAGAGGAAGCGGTACAGGTAAGGAGTTTCCTTTTCCTAATCTAACGTTCAATGATACAGTATTGCGTAGGGTACATACATTTAAGTACTTAGGACATGTGCTGACCTCTGACCTCAAGGACAATGATGACATAGAGAGGGAACAGAGAGCGCTGTCAGTGAGGGCGAACATGATGATAGCTCGCAGGTTTGGAAGCTGCTGGACATAAGTCAAACTTACACTTTTAGATCGTATTGCACTTCACTTTACACGTTCAGCCTGTGAGCCGACTGTGCTCAAGTGTTGTACAGTGCACTCCGAGTACAATATAATATCGCCTTCAGGGTGCTGTTGGGGCTGCAGCGTTTCTTTGGTGCATCGGAGATGTTTGCTGAACATCACGTAGGTTCCTTTTATGCTACAATGTGTAAAAGATGCACATCCCTGGCGCGCGGCAGCGTCAACAGTATCCTGAACATGATCTCTAGTCGCCTGCAATGTAGTTACATCAATTGTTGCTGCGCAATTGCGTACGGAATGGCGCAGCAATGATTTTGTGTCTTTTATGTATATCTATTTTTCTTTGTTTTGTGGTTTGTCTTCCATATGTACCACTAGTCTCTAAGAATATAGTTACTAACAAAATGGATACCATGGTCTGAAATAAAGAGTTATTATTATTAAAGCTGATATAGACCGAGATCCGTACTTAAAACATATACGGATACAAGGTACATTACTATAACACAGCATTAATATTATTAACATTTAGGCACAATGTGATTTGCTAGCTCAGTTTACGGTGTGCGAGAACACAGCACTTGACATTTGCGCCAACAGTTAGACATTAAGAAACGCACAAAGATAGATAGCAACACAATAAACATAAAATCTTAGTAAGTAAATTAAAAAACTAACTAAACTATATAATATAAATGTATAACACGATTTTGACTTTCGATTTTCGGTTTACAAATATAAAAGTGTTTTGAGGTAACAAACATGAAAATAATTGCGTAACAAACATTTTTTTTGTCTAAATGTTTTGTAATCTCATTTATTACTCACTTGTGCACATATCTCTGTAACCCAACACAAACACCTAACAAATATCTTGTAAGAATAAAATAAGATCAATACATGATTATATTATTAAAGGAGTTGTCCTCTAACTACTAAAGGTCAAGGACCCTTCCATCGTCAGCTCAACAACATGAGATATCGACTATCAAACGCAAATACATGTATAGCTATTAGTAGGGGAGCCCTAGAAGGGATTTTGGGATTTACTTGCGCGTGTCAGATTAACATACCTTACACCCAGTTGAGTACCTCCACCATACATGAGCTCTACACATTGGGGCGATCGTCTAGGGCAGCCCATCAGATTAGTTAAAAATAAAATCGATGGCCAAAAATACTCGATCTTGTAAGATTAAGGTAAGTTGCGTCTAATTACTGGCTTTTAATATTAAAGTGAAAACTTTTAGCCGCGTTAGGTAAGTGATTTTTAGTAGGAGTAAAATTCATGAAGTGGCGTTGACTGCGATTGTGCAGTGGTAGCGTATGCGACTGCTATGCAGATGTCTCGGGTTCGAGTCCCGGGTCGGACGAAATGTTTGTACGGCTGCCAATATTAGTTTCGGAGTTGGTGTGTTTTCAAAATATAATATGTACGGATTTACAAAATAAAAGTATATAAGTATTCATTCCGTCAATCTAGCTTTCATAGTCACCATTTGACCTCAAGTTTGCAATGGCTGCCTACGAAGCAGCCATTTTTGATCTGTCGGAGGCAGACTACGTATTTCCTAGATGGTTGAGGCGGATGGCAATTTGTATACGAGTGATGGAGAGTATTTTGAAAAAATAAAATATAAATTGTAAGTATATATTGTTTACTTTTTGCGTGTCTTAAAATTTATATAGTGACCTACGTATGTGGACACTAAAGTCATAGATCAACAGACACAATAGCAATAATCTCTGTTTTGTCAAATATTAAGCAAAATAAATTGAATAAAATTATTACATATATGTATGTGCCGGTCTACAACCGCCCGTTGCCAAGGGGTTGAACCTTATGAAAAGGAAGGGCAAACAAACTCACGGCTACTCTTTTTTAATTAACAGATAGATACAATGGCATCATTCAATAAACCACAACATTGTTTTGATGTGGGTTAGTATGTCAGTTATTAAGGACTAAAAGGTAAAAAGGCAATGAAGAGATCAAAAAGATAAAGAAAAAAGATGGAATAGAAATGAAAGTGATGAAGACATGAAACAATGTATACAATGAAAATATAACACAGTAGAATACCATACGACATTATGCTAGGCCTGGGGGTGACAGGTGAGGCCATCTGTCACCCTAGCAGAAGCAGGCCGGGGTGGCGGCGAGCGCGTTGCGAAGCGCGCTCGCTTCCAGGGAGCACAGGGAACATGGGGTTCCCACACGGGGCGGGGGTCGTCTACTCGTCTGTAGATGACCCGAGGTATGTCGGGGCACCAGGGCCTTCCTTTCTAGGGTATACCTGGTTCCCCGGCTATTAGTACCCGGCGAAGGCGTGCGGTTTTAGTCGGTTCGAGTCCGACATGCCACCGACAGGTGGTATCCGAGGGGATTTCCGCACGGAAAAAAAAAAAAAAAAAGTCTATAAAATAACAGAAGTAAACAAGTCGTGCTGAATCAACATCGGTCAAGTCTCGAATTTTTCTTACAGGTTATACTGCTGAGTCTACTCGGTAATTTATCTTCAAAAGGAACGTGTGTGAACACACACACATGTGAAGGTGTTATTTGCGTGGAACATTTATTTGTTATTGATTACAGTGCAGGTACCAGTATAATGCAATACTGGAAAGCCTTTGTTGTATTCAAACATCTTTCTGTTTTGCTCTTAACTGAATTTATAAATATATAATATATAAACTATACTAGAGATAGATAAAAAATAAAAATATTAATAATTAGCGTTTTATTTTTTTATAATTAACAAAGGCCAAATAAGCATTCCCTGATAAGATTGTGACAGCTACGAGGAGTAATTAAAAAATATAAGTGAAACCATTAATTATCTCATTACATAATAATTATGATGATTTGGAAACAAGTTTCAAATCATTAAAAAAATCATTTAATGCAAAAATACATGTATCGGCGCATTGGGAACCTTTTAACTTCTACTGTAATTAGTAACCTTTTGTGGATCTAAAACGTTTCTAAATCTCCTTTAATTTATCTATGACTGCAGAAAAAGTGATGTCATATTGTTCAATACCCACCTCATCATCGTCATCATCAACAGTCTTAAGGGTCCACTGCGTGACATAGGCGTCTCCTTAGAGAGGAAGTTTTAGCCTACTATACCTCGCTGGCTAGACGGGTTGGTGCACGGATTGTTTCGAGCTTTCCTTCTCTCAGGCCTTTTTCAACCTATATGACTTTGAAACTAAACATATAATTTAAAGTTTTCTAGTATTTTTCTTACTTCTAAATACCTACTTGTGTATAGCTAAATCAAATATAGTTTTGTTCATCTAAGTGATTGATCAATGTAACAATTATGAACGTCCGAAGTTCAATTACATTTAGTTAGAAGTTCGCAACGCACTAAATAGACGTAGACATGGGAAACGAACTGGGCAATGAAGGCCAGTGCTTTTGTAACCGACAAGCCGTTCAGCCCTTGTAAGAGAACGGAGTGAATGCGTTCCTTACCTTACCCATGCAGTGGTCTAACGGGAAATTTATTTAATAATTAAAAACCGGTCAGGTACGAGTCGAATTCGTGCGCCCAGGGTTCCGTACCTACCCAGATTTTACGTAGATTTTCGCGAAAAGTTTTAAGTACCAAAATTTATCTTAATTATTAACTTTTTTATTTTTTGGAATTATTCCTTTATTTGTGCTGTAAGACGTTTCTTTTTGCCAAATTTCTTGATTTTAGATCAACGGGAACTACCATATAGGTTTTCGACCCAAAACCTATAGGGTACTTCCGGTTGACCTAGAATCGTCAATTTTGGTTAAAAGCAAGGTACACAACACAAGGTTACAGCACAAGTAAAGAGAAAATTCTGAAAAATAAAATACGCTGAAAATTAAGGTACATTTTGGTACTTACAAGTTTTGTCGAAAATTGAAAATTTGCCCATATCTTTTTATCGTGTTGACTCAGGACCTTGATTTTTAAACACCTAATAGGGACTATATTATCTGGTATAAATTTCGACTTGCTAGGTCGGACCGCAGACGTTTGCAGACGGACAAGAAAGTAATCTTTAAAGGGTTTCTTTTCCACCTTTTGAGGTACGGAACCCTAAAAAGATGCTTTAATGTTTTCTTTCATATAAATAATTCTGTTGGAATAGTTCAAGGGTTTTCTCGCAGTGAAACACACATTTTATTGTACCTTTTATTTTAGTGTACTTATCGCTTATATAATATTTACAAATACATGTATACTAAGTAACGACGGCTCGTCCCCAACACGCGGGCGCAACCACGAGGCGCCACACGCACGCGCCACACACGCGCCACACACGCGCCACACCCACCGACGTGACGTCGAGCAGTAAGCGCCCGCCGGTTGACGGACAACTAACTTAGGTATATACGCCATAAACTATCTTTTCTTTTTAATATATATATTACTTTCGATTACCATGCAACGACATTCATTTATGTATAAAAAAAATATTACAAATAATTGATTTTTCAATAAACACTAGTATAATTCGGATTTATGCGTTAGAGAGGTCTCTCAGATCTAATATGATATTTAAAAAAATAAAAGTCCCGTCTCGTCACCGTCACAAACTATAGGCATATCTACTATGTACTTACAGTTAAAATCCGCCAAATATGGCATCTTGCGATAAAATAAATATATTACAAAACTGTATATTTTGCCGGTGACGTACGGGAGCGCTCAATACGCTCTAACTGTACAGCGTGACAACGAACATTCACGCACAAACAGTACGAGTACATGCACAGTACTCGACAAATACCTTCACGCCTCGTGCGTGAATAACAAACTAATTACATAACAATATAATGATGCGGGTCTTGCTAAATGTATTATTATTATTTTGATATATTAATTAAAAACATCACTTGAAGGCACTACGGCATTTTATAGGCACTATCCGTAACATTAACAACAATATATTGCTTTTAGGTTATTGCTTTGGCATAGAACAATAACTGAATAATTGCTTCAAATTTAACATTTCAAGACCTCCTGCATCATTATTTTCCCCAATTAACTTTTTTGGTTCATTGTTAGGCATTGCTATATATATATATATATAGAGATAATTTCTGAACATGATGATCAACCAGATGTTGTTCGACGTATTCAAATACAAAAGAATGGTATTCACGCACACTTAAGGGGTGTGAGCAGAGTATTGTCTGCACACGCTTATTTGATAAATTCGAGGAATGCAGTTAGAAGTCATGGAGTCAACGATAATATCTATAAGTTTAGCACACGCCCCTAGCTTGGCACTTGGCAGCGCACAACAACAGGGACATGTCGCGGCACATCTCCACACAAATATTTTACAAAAATATAAAGTTCGTTCAACAAGGAATAAAATCTTGACATAGGACATTTACAACAGGTTCTTTTCAACATCGCGGCGCGTTATAAAATATAATCTATGTAAAAATTAAGCTATCTACCTAGGAATGCAACATTTTAGGAATGGTTCGAACAGTCTCATCGCTTATTATACATAATTATTATTTGGTAACAGTGGGAACACACAGTTAACACACAACTGAACATCGTACGGCGACGCACCCGCCCCTCTCGCCGCGACCCTCCCGGCGGAGGCGGAGGCGGAGGAGCGGGCGGAACGCTCGCGTCTCGTATATTTGGTCAACTAGCGGTGACTTCTTGCTCTCGCTCCTACACTAACTATTAACTAACGTATCTAAACAACTGAGATTCTATGTCATCGTGAGAGCGGGGCGAGCGAGGGGCCGACGCGCTCAGCTGCCCATCGACACGACGGTGGGGCGGTCGGAGTCGGCGGCGCGCCGGTACTCGCTGTCCTCGTACACCTGGTGCGCGTGCGCGTGCGAGTGCGGGTGCGAGTGCGCGTGCGCGTGCGCGTGGTGGTGCGGCGCATGCGCGGGCGGCGGCTCCTCCAGCTTCAGCGCGTGCTGCTGCACGTAGTAGTTCAGCGCCAGCGGCGAGCGCGTGCCGCCTCCCCCGACGCCTGCGCCGCCGTCCACTGCGAAAGGACCACGTCGAGTGATGAAGTCGCAATAATCATCTACCAAAAGATATAATACCACTGCACCTGCACGCTTCGACTTCGACAGAATGTTAAGGATACCTCTAGAGGAAGATCGCCGGGACTTTTGAAACACAGTACTTTGAGGCATATTACAGACAATAACGCATGAACACAGCGTTAGAACAATTATGCTAGTATTTAGCTTACCAACCCGTACGCAAATATTTTCCAATGAGACTTATAGGATTATTTTTTTATTTATTAAAATTTCGCTAGGAATATACCTGTATTGTTTAAAAAAGATATTCTAACTTTTTTTTAGAATGTTTAATTATTTTCTGTTACACTTTTAAGGATGGCCCTATGTATTCATTTGTAAGTCTCTACTGTTTAAATCTAAACGCTTAATACTCATGAATAAACGTTTTCCTTAAACAAACGCGATTACCGCGCATTTTAAATAATATCAAATATTTGAAAGCCTTATCATAATTACAGGCATCAATTACCGCAATCCTGGGAATATCGTCATGTCCATACTAGGGATATCGTCTCAAATAGCACCCAAATTCCGATCACCAGTAATGAGTGGAGGCAATACTCACGCATGTTCTCGAGTTTGACGGCGGGCGTGAGAGAGCGCTGCACGGCGGTCTTTAGATTTCGTTCTGCTTTTATACTATTCTTAGGTTTCCGCTTTCTCGTCTGGAAATTAAACAAATATATTCACTGTTAATTCATTGGATTTTGCAAGCTTTTATTATAGTTAAACACATTTGATCCTTCATATCATGTGTACATAAATTACACCTAGACAAACGATTGTACTCAACACATAATTTTTTACATGGAATAAAAACAATGACCTGTGACTCGATAGTCAGTACATTACCACTAGACCGACCGGTCAGTCAGTCAATGAAACCCTGATAAATATTTAACAGAAGCAGGTGGGACCGAAACTAAGCCAGCTTAAGCGTTTTATGACTTCCAGTTAGCTTAGTGCTGTCTTTATTCGAAATAAATCGTGTTCGTGAAGTACTCCATTAATAAACAACTAGTACACTGATTGATGTTTAGAACGAGTGTTCTAGGGGAGTCCGCTTAGTTGTTTCTTATGTGCAGCTCTTGGCCGCTCTCTACAGATTTAATTTCTTAGTGCTGACCACAAAACGGTGACGTCACGCAAACAACTGCTAGCATTAAATGTAACAAAGCCAAAAGCTTTATTATTTTAACATTAATTAACCGCAAATATATAGTTATATTAGTACTAATTTTATAGAATTAATATAATGATAACTGTAATATTTATATACTTGTTCGTTAATTACATTTAATATTGTCGGAATGAGAGGAATCGACATCCATTATTTGTGTTCCTTCGACTACTTACTACCCAAGTGATAAACTGTTTTAGAACGTAAATATATGTTTGTTCGAAACAATCACATTAAATTGAAATTTAAACAATATTTTAAGCGAGAAGGCAATTACTGTTTTTCAATGTACGGACAACTGAGATGTACCTAACACATCAGTTGTATGTAATTAAATAATATTGGAGTATAATGTCGTTACTGCCATAGAAGAGCCTTTGTTGTGGGACGCAACTTTCGCCATCACGTCTTGCAAGCACAGCTGGTTAAATACTAAAACTTATTAGGGAATTACATTTTTGAACCATTTGGTCGAGACGCTAGGGTCACGAGATCCGAGTGCTCCTGCTGTGTGTACACAACTAGCTAAGCGACTTATTGACTCTTCTAGCGTTCTAGGCACCCTACACGTAGGCGATGTTGTTTTAATTGTATTACATTACTTATTTTTAATTATTACTTTAGATAGAACGGTGGCAGGTCAAGTGTATGGTTGGTAAAGTACCTGTATGGAGTCCTTCTTCATGGCGAGAGGTCGGTTGATGTTGTGCAGCTTGTAGTAGAGGCCGCACGCGTTGCACACCGTCTCGCCGTGCGCGTTGCGCCGCCACAGCGACGTGGTGGTGGTCTGGCAGTTGGTGCACGACATGCCCGGCCGCTTGGTGCCCATCTACACACAACACGCCTCTATTAGTGCCGAACTGAGCGGGGAGCGGCTCTGCATGCATGTAACGGTGATGTTAGCCAGTGAAGCGATGGTAGTTAGTGGGCGGGGTGCGGGGTGCGGGGTGCGGGGTGCTCGTGCGGGAGGCGAGGAGCAGGACGTACCCCTTTCTTCTGTTTGTAGTCAGGGGGGGTCGCGTGCGGCGCACACAGCGGCGCGGGCGCGGGGAGCGAGTGTGTCGCGAGGCCATTAAACAGGTAGCCCTTGTAGAAATCCGCGCCCGGCGGGGCCCCCTCCGCGGCCACTGCAACATGACAAGTGAGACTGAGCTGGGGCAGGTAGGTGGACGTCGGCGGGCGCGGATCTCTCGCGGGCTGTGGGTGCGGGTGCGGGTGGCGGGTGGCGGGTAGTGGGTATGATTGCGTACGTCGTGGTGGGGCGCGGCAGCGAGCGGCGCGTGGCGCTGACGTACCAGCCGCCGGGGCTGCTTGAGCGGCCGGTTCATGCCGTTCATCTTGTTGTAAAGCCCGCACGCGTTGCACAGGTAGTGGCCCGTGCCGTCGCGCCGCCACAGCGGCGTGTGGATGGCGCCGCAGTTCACGCACTCGCGCCCCTCCGTGATAAACTCCGCCATCTCCACTAGCAACAACCACAACACCATCGTTATGTACCTACTACTGCACGCGCGACCGCCGCCGTCCGAACTTACGAACCATTAAATCGATATTACCTATAAACATTTTAATTAATAAATATCTATTTCTTATTACCACACTGGTTTACCTACGTACATGGAAGATTGGTACGTATAACAGTTTCTGAAGAAAAAAAGGCGCCTCCCTATTGTTCGACAGCTGCGACAACTCGAATACCTACTTATTATATAAGTAATTATTTTTTTTTTGAGCAGCAAGACACAACAGAACAAAAGCTGACACATGAGTTTGATCGGGCCGTGTGTGTCGACAGACCTTGACAATGACAGTCGATGATTCACGGGGAGATGGGCGATGGGCACGTGCGGCGGCCGCAGCACGTCCGGACAAGGCCGACACATCTCTTTGTGCGGCAGCGAGAGGTGACGCGCGCGACGCCGGGCGCCAGCACTAGTCGGCTGAGGTGCCCAGTAATAACCCATAAAGAGGGCAGCCGCGTGAGATGGCGCCGACCAACGACCGGTCACAGCCTCGTCTAGTAATCGGAGCTGCGCCATTGTTCCGCAGTACGCGAACCGGCCGCACTCACACCAACCAACAAACACTCGATTTAACTGAGTTTAGCAAAAATTTTAGCAAACTTGACCGTTATAAACATTCTAATATTCTACATGTAGCGACACATAAGAAGTAGATTGATAATATTAGTCTGATGATTTTATTAATAGTGTCAAAAACTTTATTCCTTCGGTGGGAGCAAATTTTTGGCGGGAGCTCTACTTAAGTAGTTCAAATAATGCTGGCGGCATTTGAAAATACCTATTATTAATCCACATTTTGAATCTATCACTTTCACTAGCCGGGGTAGAGCCCTGAAAATACTGAATCCGATGTAAGTCTACGTTCTCGGTTTTTCTTTGAAACTCGGCCGGACCTAATTTGGCGAAATTTATGAATGTGTAGTGTTGTGGAGTGTGTACGTGCCCTAGGCGAGTGTAGTGGTGGCCGCTGGACGCGTGTGTACGGAGCTCGCGCGTACTGTTTCAATGGAATCTACGACCGTTACGTGCCAACCGCGGCCGAGTCATTCACGCGACACCTCCACTAACATAACACACTGTGTGACACCCGCTCTATTGCTACATATTGTTTATTTATTAGTGCTCGACCTCTCTTTAATGAAACCCTAATCGTTCATTAGTTGTCACGCGGAATCTGTTGTCATTGTATGGACATGATAAAGCCTATTGCTCCGAATGAAATAATTGGGCTCGCTTCGTGTCTCAGAGAGAATGCGAAAAATGTATTAAGACGTGACATCACCGAGGTAATCGATGACAGCGACTGTCACCGGCACAGGTCAAGAGAACAGTATTGCTGGAAACCGATACTCATGACTTTAATTTATATTTTGATTTTACGATAATATAAGGTAGGAATAAGTAAAAATGAGTCGCAGGATTTGCTCTAAAGTGAACACTGAAATAGTTGTCAATAATACGTACACTGGGAGTATGAACTACTAAGAGACTGTTCTTCAAAACTCATTACTTTAGCACAAATGTGAGATAGTATCTACGAGTTCGTCTCTCACTTACAGCTTTGGTTCCAATTGGTATTGGGACGTGTCGACGCTGTCCAACACATGTTAGCAATAATTGCGAACAGACGGGTTCGACATTCTATATGGATTACAATTACTGAAATTTATAGACAATATCGTGGGCAGGCGCACGCACATGGCGGGAGTGCGGGTGTTCGGTTTCACGGCGCAGATATTCGGCCAGAGCCGGGTCGCGTTACCCGCGCCGCTAATAGCGGACGTTGAGCGCTGGTGCTCATCGGTCACCATCATTACTGCTATTACAGACCTGAGTGTAACGAGAGCTGCGGCCATGTGCTGCCAGCTCACTACGCAGTCGTGCCTTATTCTCTTGTACGTAATTATTGTGATCAAGGACGTTTCTATATCATTATATGCCATCTTTAAAAATAGACCGTAAATTCTGTGTTAATTGTTTTTGTTTATTTTTTTTCTTAATGAAAGACAATTCCAGCTCTAGGAATATATCCTGTGTCGCGGGGGACTTAACAAACATACATGAAACGGACAAAAGAACACCCAGACTCAGACCCACACAGACTCAGAACAACAATTTTTGGATCACACAAAATGTTGTTCCATATGGGGATCGAACCTACAACACTCAGCGCAGTATGAAGCGGCGAGGTAACCGCTTAAACCACTAAGCCATCCGTGTAGCCGATCAATTGTTTTCATGATACAGTAATAGAAAATGACCGTAATTCAGTAGAGACTTCTAGTTGCATTGCAATAGTCGTAAACATCACATCATACCAATTTTCTTGTAATTAATGTGGCAAGTGGTAGATCACAAGGGACAACCCTACGATAACGGAGTTGTCATCATTTCAGTGATTTTGCAGCATTGACCAGCACTTATGCTTAAGTTACAAAAGGTAGCTCTTGCTTTCACCGGGTCGAATATCGCACATCAGCTTGGTGGAGTCAAGAGGTGTGACGTCACAGTTCAGCTATGTCCTAATGGTGTTAGAGGCACGTGGGTGATAAGGGCGGCTCCACATTAGCGTTAGTGTCAGTGAGCAAATATGCGTACCGCGGCGCGTGGCTCGAGTGGCCGAGTGCGCCTGTTTTTTGTCTTGTCGCCGCTTTGTTTGGAGCGAGAGCGGGGTTCGACGGGGCAGGAGGAGGTGAAGAGGGGGGGTTAGGTTTGCCACGAGCGAGGCCGGACGCGGCGATGTTTGCGCGCGGCACGTGCCTTATCCGATACCATTTACGGAATGCGATTTTAATGCGCTTAAAAGGGAACGACTTCATTTTAAAAGAAGACAACGTTTTTTTGGACAGGCCTATGTAAACAGCGGCGCGCGTGTGTGCGTGTAGCTTGTGGGACGAGGATTGTGCCCTCGTCGCGTGGACTGTCGGCGTCCTGCCGACTCCAAGACGGTAAATAAACAACAACATCGAAACAATGTAGGCTTTATTGGTCGGAGCGATGTAGCGGCGCACAGGAAAACCGCGGCCGACTCGTTAATTATAAATAATACGTAGAGGTAGGTAAAGCTAAAGACGGAGTGAGCGCGCCTGAGCCGGAGCACTAAGTATGTAGGTACTTAGTACAACAAAAAACCTTTTTATTCTAACATATGGGTATGTGTAAAATGTGTGTGCTATTATTCATTTACATTCTCAAAGTTGAAGACTAAAAAACGCCAAATAAACTCATACTAAATCTACAACAATTGTATTATGTATTTGCGATACTAAAGATGTTAGAGTCAAATTAAGCTTCATTAAATTAAAGTTACAAAGCAGCGAGACGAAGTCCTGGACCAATGTGGATAGTACCTACCTACGTGATGAGATCAATTTCACCGTATTGATGCATGCGTACCTTACAACATGGAGATAAACCTGTAAGTAACATGTAGGTACTGGTGATAGCGATGATGATGACTAGCCGAACAGCTTCCATCAAATAGCCGATGTCTGAATTTAAAGTTTTAGAAACGAATATTGACTGAATAAAGATGTTGACAACAATCTCAACTAAATGTTACGTTGTATGTGATGATTATTTGTTTTATGTCAAAAACTAAAACCATGCCAGTTATATTTAATAAAATTTATTAAAAAAGGCTGAATGATTGATATCACGTGACTGCAAACAGAAACCAGATCCATTACGTCAAAAATCGACACACAAGGTGACAGCTGTTATTGTACCTATTAACTTTGCATACCATACATACGCAGGTATTTTTGGTGATAGTTGTTAGTTTATCGGTTAGTGACGTAACGAAATTGATATTGCAGATGCAAATATTTGAGGGGCAATTTCTAAAAGGAACGCTATCGTTGCAGTTTAAATTTTCTTGTAGAATACCTAATGGTCTAGCTATGAAATAAAAGCAGATTTGCCAACATCCCTAATTGTCCCCTTGTAAAACCTACATCAGGCATAAATTCGCGTAATTAACAAACTCCAATAAAGGAAAAACCTAAAAGCGTTGGTAATTAGTTATTGTAACTGTTAGATGGCTATAAATAAGTCTAAGGAGGCTACGATGTATTTTCCTTCTGAATTTATATATGTATTAAGTGTGTTTAGTGTCGCTCGGACCCTCGCGTTCAGTATTGTATATAAATATTGTTAGTGTTCCTCAAGTTAAGGCGCTAGTCAGACCAAACTAAGCAACGTTTGTACTTTGAGCTCCAATTCTAGGAACTCGATACGGCGTTACCAGACTGCTGTTAAACATACGTGTAACTAAATACATACTATTACAGATAAATAACATTCGGATAAATGATGGTTCTCATCACACATTAATTGAGCTGGGTGGGAAAAGAACCCACGGACTCTGGATCAGCTAATACACCTTATTGTTACTACTACACCGAAATACTTATACTGAGTTTGGGTGTAGACAGCGTCTTAAACTATTTCTGATTTACATTTAACACCTAATTAATACCTATTATGTCGTAGGACCCTTCGGGTTCCTAATTGTACATATACGAGTATGGCTGGACACGCACGAAGTCGTAGACAACGGCTGACATTTTACGAGGACGCTTAATTATGATTTATAGCTGCATATTATTGTAATACTAAATAAACATTTGTTTATCTTGCTTCTCGTCGCATTCTCACCGACGGCGTTCACAGAACAGATATAAATAATTTAACGATTCACAAAAGGGACATAAAGCTCCGAGCACCGAGTGGCGAGGACTGATGAAGGTCTGAGTAATACCACCGCTTGTAAATAATAGCGGAACTGTTCGCTTATCGATATAACTTTTGGAAATCGCTTATCTGTACCAAAAAAAGCGGAGTAGCGGCTCAATATTAGTTGTGACAGCGCTGTCAGAGCGGTGCGGGCTATCGCGCCGTGACCTGCCACAAAAACCACCACCCCCCCCCCGCCGCCCGCTGCGCCCTGTTGCTATCTGCTATCTCGGGATCATCAAACTAATTTTAAATATTTGTATCGTTAACGAGTTACGAGTGATCATCGCGTTCTCTCATATTGTCATTTATTTATTTGAGCTCTAACAACTTTATAATTAGTTTACAATCTTTTATTCATTTTCACTGATAGGGTACCTATTACAAGTAGACAAAAAAACATGACTTGCGGGGACAATGTTACCGTATTTTATGCTTGTACTCTTAGTCTCGCCAACCATTCATGACAGTACAAGAAAAATAATCTTCAGATCACAGACAACAAGACCCCAGTAGTAGTAGGTTTGGTATAGACACTACTACGACTACGAGCGCGTAGGTACCCGTTATTTTGGTCGATACGTAAGTAGATACTTATTATGTTTTTTTATTTATTTATCTAAAAGTATAAATAATATCGATGGAAACTATTACTAATTAAGAGCAATATTGAACATACAATGTATTGGAAACGTTCAACAAACATCTGTTGTGGACACTCGTGAGTCACGCGCGGACTTCAACCACTCGACCCGATCATTGTCTCCTTGCATTCCTTTTATAAATAATTATAATCCTTTTGTTACTTCCTCTTACAGTTTAATTTAAACAAACTGCGTAACTAGGGAGGTGCCCATACCTAACTATCTCCTGTTGACTGTCTACTGTCACAATATATTCCAACCATGTAATGAGCTAGGTACTTACAGGCTGAGAGGCTGGCGGCGGCGGAGATCTGAGGCCGACGATTACTTTCCAAGTTCCAAACCTCCTGAAAACATACGACATGAACTATTTGTAGTGCTGTTAGCTGGTAGATACTCGCACCATTGGATCGATGTTTGCGCTGCATATATATTTGTGGTAAGAAGTACCTGTATGTGATGTAAGATGACTGATAGAGTGAGAAATGGTGACTACTCTCAGTAGGTGAAACAAGATGTAGTGATAAGAATCGAGAAAGGGATGCTGCGACATTGGGTCATGTTGAAAGGATGGGAGTGAGGAACTGAGGGAAGTTGGTTTATTGACCAGATCGGCAGTGCACTGAAGAAGGGCTACGTTGGAAAACAACCGTAACTGGTGTGAGTATGAGTATGAGGGCTTGGTGAATGTTGAAGAGACGCGAGCTGTATGTCAGGATCGTGGGAAATGGCGTTCTATTGTCTCTGACAACCCCGGACGGGATTAAAACGAAATTGTATGTACGTCTGTATGTGTTACGTCCAAACGAGTAAGATATAAAATATAATATAAAATACCTATTTACTAAACACATGCGAATACAAGTCTAGGGATGAAAGAAGTCTAAAAGGTACCGAACTACCTACAGTCATAAAGTAAAAAGGTTTTGTTTTATTGTCTAGTTTTAGGTATCATTGGAGAAGCGTTTATAAAAATTTATAAAACAGTGAAGAGTATTTATAGATTCACTGATCTGATAGTGACCGGTATATGAGAGCCAGTTACTGTCAAGTGCACCAACTCCTGGCCCTGACCCTCCATAGTACAGGCTCTGGCTAAGCTATGGCTTGAATAGTCTGATACAACTCACTCAAGGATACTATCGGCCAACTTATAAGAACAAAAAGTTGAAAGAAGATTTGGGTCTTAGAAGTTGTCGTTGTCGCATGCGTTATTAGTTCAAAACAGTTAAAACTAACTACGGAACCCTCCACTGCACGTAGCCCGACACGCACTTCCTAGGTAGCTATTTAACTAAGTATTAGCGTTTACCTAAATATGTTATCTTTCTTATTTTTAATTTGTGTTAACTTGTTATAAAAGCAAGTTTTGTTACTAATTTAGTTACTTAATTATAAAGCAATGTGACTAAATACTAATGTTGTATTTAGTACTAGGTAAACAAGCAGCTTGTTTTGCAAATGTAGATGTATAAATAACATACCTAATGGCTTGTAATTAAGTAACGATGACTAACAATCAATAAGGCACTATCACACTTAACTTACGTAGTTTTCTTAATGAGGTGTTTAAAAATCACAATGATTAGGTTCAAATTAATATTAATCATTTCGCACAGAATAATTAGGCGTCTTAAACGATGTAGGTAGTTAATTGCCCCCTAGTCGACAATAGGAAGTGATCACTGAGTAAGAAACTAAAATAAATAGGTATATATATATATGATGAGCATATGCTATCTCATCTCCAGCTATCACATCGCTAATGCATGCTCGCGAAATACAGCAAAAGCATAAACCTAAAATCTTCGTAACATAATTCGTTTGATAAACAAAAAAATATTGTTCTAAATTTACGCAAACTTTTTTGGTCCTATACAATAGTGAAACTAAAACGTGGGGACAAAAGATCATCGACATCGATGCTAAATCATGATAAATTGGATAAATTGTATTCATCATCCTTTAATAAGTACACTCTTGGAGGTGGTATATGATCAAATTGAAATGGGACCAACCTTAAGAATTATAAATTCTATAAAAAAAACAACTATAGTTGTGTGTTAGGAACAGGTACTGGTAAACGTATCTTTATCAGTCATGTACACGGTACTTCTGTCAGTGAGATATAGCATTCGCCACTTTCTGAAGTAGGCACCGCTTTGCCCCATGACACAGAGCAAAATGTTGTCTTTTCAACCTACTTCAAAAAAGTTTTTATATTAGTTACCCTGTCATTTATGAACCGAAGCAAAACCGTTGTTTGTTTTTTTTTATCGTTATAATTATATCTTGTTTGGTCCTATTGTAATTTGCAAAAAAACATACCACCCGTAAAGGTGGAAAATTAAGAAATAAAGAATACGGTTTCTTCAAGTTCATCACGACCTAGTTACGTCCTAGGTACTTAGGTCTATTGAATTCGGTGATACTTGTTTAAAGGTGATAATTATACTGTACAGTAGCTATCGATGTTCTTCGCTGTCATCAAACTAAACTAATATAACATCTTATTTATTGAATTGACATTTTATCTGCCTCACTTTCCCGCGTGACATTTCCTTAACATTCGAGATTGATACTGTGAAAAGATTCTTACGTGTTCATTATCTAAATAAACCTAAGGCTGTTGGGTAATTGTTATGATACATGTGTTTGAAATAAGTAAACTTATTGCGATAAGTTATAACTCGCAAACACAAATTCGTTATTTTACACAATATCACAAATTAGACACGATTTTGATGTGTTTCTGTTTTTAATTTTCAACTTTCCTTCAATATGGGGGTTAGTTAGATTATATCAACTTCTGTCTAAGGTACACGGGAAGAGATCCGTGTGGCAGATAGTTTACCACGGTTTAAGCCCTACGATAAGGACAAACTACGATAAGAGGAAGACAGCAAGCCGAACGACGCTAAAAGGAGAATCTTTGTATCTAATACTGAGATACCCAATATAGCGAGCTAGGAAGGTCGGGAACGTACCTGTGGCGAGTATGCGCTCGCAGGCAGCGCGGACGTGCTGTACACGGAGGAGGGAGCGCGCGCCGTGGCGCAAGCAAAACCGCCTCCGAAGCGAGCGCTGAAGGCGGGCAGCGATCCGCCACCCCCGTCACTACCCGCGCCCGACCCTGGGCCTCCTTCCCCACTGTACTCTTCTAACACCACGCCGCCCCCTGACCCAGTGGACCCACCGTAGCTCGGCGAACCACCTGTACACCAACAACATTACTTGGCATTCATTACGAGTTTTTAAATATAATTCTAAGGTTTTTTGATTGGTCTTACCTGCACTTGAGGTCCATATCTGTGTCTGCGAGGTCAATTCAGCTCCGTTACTGAAGTAAGGTGCGGTGGCCCCTGGGCCGCCGTACGCGCACCGTGTGTACACCGCGCCGCCCCCTCCCCCACTACACAAACATTTAAATAAACTTTTAATCAGTTTTCGTATATGTATCTCTACTTATATATCATATTAGTAAACAATTATTCCACAATGATTAATTCTGACCATATCTTAAAAATAACACGCTACATATTACGTAAGGCATCCATGCTATAAAAGAAGCCAGCCATCCGTACGGAAAGCCATTAATTACAAAATGGACAATATATTATTGGTACTTATTGTTGAGCATTGACGTCAAATTTTATTACCAACTAGCAGTACCCTGCAACGATTTGCTGTGGCACGTTATGGGTGGGTTAAGGAACAAAACTGACGCGAACAGTAGATAAGAACCATTTTGGAAGCGGTTTGTATTTGGTGTAAAAATTTGAACTCAATTGTAGCAGAACTTTTTGAGTCTTTGATACATAGACCAATTTAACATTTTTATAAATGTTGATAAAGATAAGAACCGTATATTGTAGTAACCAAACCCTGATGTAGGTGATAACGTGTGCACACTCTGATCTAAACGTGTCCTTATATATTATTATGGTAGATACCTAACTCTCTCTTCTTTGAGATTGGCCAATTGTGTTTGATATTTGTTAACATCAGGGTGACTGCGTTTTGGATGTACTCAACAAGACAAGGTTTTGGTTAAATAGTTTTTAGTAAAGTAGATATGAAGAGTGTGGCGTCACCGCTACCAGTTGTACGTGTCAGTCGGGGTTATTGTACCTACTTACGTATGTGTACGTAGGTACGTAGCTGTGTCCCCAAACCCATTGTAACTAGTCGAGTTAATTGTTACAATTTAAATAATTACCATTTCTAAGTTAAAGTGTAGTGAGCTCCACTACATTTAGATACCTACCAAACTTTTTTTATCACTTCAAAAATAGGTATTAACACAAAAATACCTATGTTACTTACTTACTTAAGAACAGGTTGTTAACTGACTTCGAAAAGCAGGAAGTAATCAATTCAACCATTTTTTTGTGTGTATAATAGGTATGTTACGAGATCTCTCTGATATTTGTAACGATTTTCATATTTTTACCCCAGTTTGATCTCTTTTAAATTTAAAGCGAAAATCCAACGTTTATTGTTATTCAAATAAGGTTGTTTTCATTTTCATTTGCAGCCCTGCTAACTCACTAGCGAAATTTTTAGATATTTTTATGACTTAAGAGTGTTAAGGATTAATAATATTTATGGATTTATATTATTTAAAAAAGAAAGTACGAATATTGTTTAAAGTAGCCGTGAGATTTTCACTGAAGCTCTCTCAGATAGAGACAAATTGATGAAATATTATAAATATGAGGGATATTTATAATATTCGTCTCGTCGATCGACAATCGACGGCTCGAACTTATCACTGAGACTGATTAATAGATAGGTACAAAGTATATGTTAGCTAAACTCACGTTGTATGTAAGGGCTGAGAATTGATAGTTCATAATATTTCGAACATCTGACACACAACGCCATTTAGTTTCAGACTAAGCAGGACTTGTACTATGAAAAGACTGATAGAATACTTATATACAATACTGCAACTCCGAGGCAGTTTATTGTATCATAATATTATTAAATCATAAATAAATAATTTTCATTTAGAAATGTATCTCAATATAACACCTGATTTCATATATATCAATTCACAATAAGATAACTTAATCTATTGCTTTTTATGTTAGGATTTTGGGGTTTTGATGTGACACTCATTTACAACTAAAGTTGCGAATGTTCTCTACAGGTCTATAAGACTAGTGGTTAGTAACACATGACCACCTGGGTTCAATTCCCATCCGGGACAAATAGATGATTGGTCGATGAGCACGATCATTTGTTTCGAGTCTGAGTGTTATTTATCTATAATATGCATGTAGAAATATATAAGTATGTTTATCAGCGGTCTGGTTAAAACAGCACAGGCTGGGAGATGTGTGAGGTTATTATTATTAGTACATTCAATCATTTTTAATCACTTTGTAACTGAAATAAAAAAACCAAGCGACTTTAACTGTGATCGCACGATATTGATCGAAAAGGTAAGTATTTACTGTGTTAACTCTATGTTGACATTTTTTTATTGATTTGCACTTTAGGGATAAGTTATAGATGGCAGTGTTTAATACTGACGAAATCACACCTCGTTATACATGATATCCATAATGAGAATAATTTTAATAATAACTTGAGGAACTTTACACCCGGCTCTCAAATCCCAAACAGACTCCTGATAAACTACTTATAATTACCACATACATACATGTTACAAGGAGAGGCTTATGTCCAGCAGTGGACTGTTAAAGGCTGATGATGATGATGATGATGATACATGTTATACAAATATTACTTCCACACATACAATAAATGATAATGAACACCATAGTGTGATTTATCTTGGGTGGGAATAGAAACCACGACAATCAACAGTTAGAATTAGGTAGGTACCAGGTAGGTAGGTAGGTAGGTAACTAGACTAATAGGCCGTTATGGTTAAACATGATATAAAGCCTTTCAGGACTTAAATGGTAAGCTTCCAAAAGAAGTAAAAGATGTGTGAGGACTGAGGAGTACCCAAAGTTAATACACCAACCAAGACCAAGACATGGCTAACAAACGTACCTAAGACTTGTACCTACTATTAGCACCTAAATATATAATAATAATATTTGAGACATCTCACGCACGCCATCTAGTTTCATGAAAACTAGATTGACTGTTTGAATACCTACCTATATACTTTTTTTTGTAAATACATTGATACTTATTATGCATAGAAAACACCCAAACACCGAAACAAATATTTGCAGATTATAAAAACATTTGGTAGACCCGGGAATGGAACTCGAGACATCAGCACAGCAGTCGCATACGCTACCACTGTAACATCGAGGCAGTAAAATATGTACTACGTGGCCATGTTGTCACCTTGCATTGTGGTACCATCACAGGACAGGACCAGGACAAATGAACCTAAATTCATGCAAGTAGCAACTTAGGAAGTCCTGGAGTGTGTACTCAGGGCTGCGCTTGCGCCAAATATGTAGATCAACTTCGCGTAACATGTACGTTAGGTAGTAGGTGCGGGCGCGCTCGTGTGGTAGTTAAGTAGAGCGCAGTGGGGCTAATGGCTCGGAACGTCTCGGAAGTAGGTACACGTTATCGTGCACGGCCCTCTCCTCCCCTCCCCCTCTAGCGCACACCGCCGCACCGCACCCCGCCGGCGCCCTCGACCCCCTTGCATTCATTACGCGTCGTGACACACCGTCGTCACCATACCGACCGACAAACTGTTCATTTAACATTTGTAAAACCCTAGACTTGCACTTTGTATGGAGGAGCGCAGCGCGACCTTGTCCGGCCGAATGCAGAGCGCGTGACGTGAGTGTTTATAAAAACAGCGAGATGAACATTAGGTAACGGTCGCACCAGTATGGCGCGCGACATATACAGCGGCGTGTGTGCGCACTGCGCAGCCTCTGTAACAGGAGAACGCGGAAGTGTCCACTGGCGCATTTACCTACGCTGCCACGTTCCTCGCTTTTCTCGAGCCTCTAATGGCGAATGGTGAAATATTGCACATCAAAACTGTACTAAGGTTCACTACTGGTAACTAGGCGCACTCATCCAGAGTACAATTTTAAACTATCCCACAAAACCCTGAAAAATGTACCTACTTAAAAACTTTGTTATGATCAATTGTTAGGTCATAGAGGAAAGCCGCTGAGAATAGCATTATATGAACCAGTCTTAACCTACCTGTTGACGGGCCTGTTGGTCTAGTGGTTAGTGACCCTGACTGCTAAGCCGGAGGTCGTGGGTTCGATTCCCACCCAGGACAAATATTGTGTGCTGTGTACGGTCATTTGTTCTGTGTCTGGGTGTAATTTATCTATAATATGTATGTATTTAGAAATACATATGTATATTTATCAGCAGTCTGGTTACCATAGTACAGGTTCTGCCTAGTTTGGGATCAGACAGCCGTGTGTGAGATGTGTGAGGGTATTACCTATGACCACTTATCTCGATCGCGATGAGTTGTGCCGTACCTGCGTACCTACCTATTATCTCAGTCTGGCTAGTGGTCGCTACTGATAATTAACGACACGGTATCAGTCCCATTGTTAACTGTCTCACTACTGGGCATGGGCCGCCTCTTAGCTACTATGAGCGGAACTTGTCAAGTTTCACGAACCTTCAAGAACATTAAGGAGTAGGTCCATCTGTAAGAGTGTGTAAGATTACCTTCGCCGTTAAAATCTGTTAGTTTTAAATTAAAATAAAGAAATAAAAACAGGAGTACGCGACCAAAAACAAAACTATATAGATACATCGATATGTTAGGGATGATTGTGTTTACGCTACAAAGAATAGCTGCGTCACTGGAGCATCGCTACTTATGACTGTTCACCTTTAACCAATTAATACAGGTAACAGAAGCGGAAGCCCGCAGTGCTTTTCGCCCGCAGCGCATTACCGGTGACAGAGGGCCGCACGTGCGAACCGCACCGCGTGACCGCAACTACACGACAAGCACGTGCTGCCGACGCGCCAGCCCTCCCGCCGGCAGACCATCCCGAGGGACCCACACACCAACACAATTTTGCTAAATATAATTAGGTCTAATAATATTAGTCGTGAGATGCATGGACAAAGTCCCGCACAACGACGCTAAGAGCCTATACAAATAACTCATTTCGAGACACTTAAACCGTCACACAAAACGCACAAAAAATGTGTACAAATTTAGAAACGATCCTACACTCTTAAAACGTGTAAAATGGCGCATTAGGAGAGAGAGACACCATAAAAACTGTCGCCGATGACAAACATCGCGCCGAGAACCCTCCGTCTCACCTGCGCCCGCGACGCACTCGCTATGTAGATCGTTTTCACTCAAATAAACAGAAAGGCGATATATATTGTTTAAATTTTAACTTACTAACAGGACTTAAACCTTAATTTTTTTCTTACTACTACTTCAGTGTCGTTTAAGTCTAC